CCGTGATCCTCCGTTTGATCGGAGTCAGTCGGGGTGAGCCGTATCCGAAAGATTTCGCGCAAATTATTGAGCTCTTATCCCTCGCGTTTAAACTCGGGATCGACCGTGTCGTCAAGGAGTGTGTTGAACTTTTCATGGAACCTCAAAATGGAAGACCATTGTTAGGCCAGGCGCTGCCAGTCTGTTGTTCCGAGCACCCATGTGAGCAGTTCATGAAGGCTATTCTGGAGTTGCCTCTGCGGACCTACGAAGTCTATGAGGAGCACTTCGAGAACTTTCTGCACCACTGCGGCGAAGATCGGAGTAAGCCGGAAAATGTCCTCAAACATTTCGAAGCAGTTCAGCAGAGTGCTATCGACCTGGAAATTGAACCTCTCCCGGTGAGCTTGACAGCTCGATCGGTACCGGTCGGCCTCTTCAGAGAGGCGGAGGAAATTAAATCATTCGTCTACTACGATAACCTATGGCAGCCAGTCAACGTATTCGGAAAGCTCAAGATCGATTGGGACGACATGAAGAGCTTCTACCTCTCTCACGGTAGCTATTTACTTTATCACTCGGCAAGCGCCAACGAGATCGTTTTTATCGCCTTAACCTCTAAACGAAGTCGGGCAGTCGTGCATAGGAACGCGTTTCAGCTCCTGTCCAAGGAGGACAACGTGTTCGTGCTCAACGAAGAGGGTGGCACGCGGAAAATACGCGTTTGGTTAAACTTCGTGTTCCATACGGTGTATGCCGGAAAATTGAAAGGAGAAATCTACGACTACGATTGCAAGAGTAAAGTGCTGTGCTTCCAGAGGAACTCTCACAGCTTCTCGTTGATGAAAGTGGACGGACTCCAATGTGGCCTGATCTCGCACGTTGAAGTCGATGGAGCGATACAGAGCATGTATTTCCTAGACGGCAAGCTCAACCTTTGGAGAGCGGAAGACAACAATTATATACGATCTACCTATTCGATGAACGTCGACGCCATCTCTGACGAAGAGGTAGCGAAAGAAGTCTACGATAAGAGGAAAACGAAATACTCGCTGGATGGAATGCGTCGGAAAGTCTGCTCCGGGACGCTTTTCGAAACTGGATGCAAAGAAATCCCTCTCCCTGTAGGCGCGGAACGTCTGAGTGTTTGTCTTGCAACTAACTGTATTTCCCTGTCCGAACTATACCTGCTGCCCGGCCCAGTCTCGATTCCTCAAAAAATCGAGGCATGCATCGAGACGATCGGAGGAGTGGGCTCAACAGGCGGAACTCCCTTCTCCGGAAGACGTTTGGCTCAAGCGTTCCGGAGCATTCGGAGGTCCTAGCAGAACTGTGCCTTTAGGAATCGGACAGATTGGAACGCGTTGAAGAAATGTTTCAGCAGAAGACGACCTGCTGATGGAATCGTGATTGTACTCCGTGGATCTTTATCATGATTCCCTACCATATCCTGCGGGGTAGAGTTCCCAAACAATCAATATCTATGCCTCGCTAGCTTTCTCCCTTGCAAAAATTTCCTCCACTAAGAGAATTTGTGAAGCTTGTTCGAAGAGGAGCAAGGACCGCGCATGATCTGCTCATTGAATGATGATTGTACTCAACCGATATCCATTATGATTATTTCATCTCCGAATGAATGAAAAAGCACTATGTATGTGACGTGAACTTTTTTGAATTTCAATGTACCTCTCTATGAGGGGAATTCACCCCCTGAACATAATTTAAATAAACATGACCAAAATTTGTGAGGTCCCGGGCGAATCCCATGGAATTCCTGCAGCGAATCTTCAGTCTATTTCCCGCGTCCAGATCTCGGAGGAGGAGCTTCCCGAATAAGTTCAAAACACTACATTCTATGAACGTTGCATCGATATCGTTCGTTTCCTATGAGTACAATCGATCGAGTTCCAACGATCCATGAGCAGTCTCCGGTGTCTTTTCTGGATTCGATTGTGTTCTACTAATCGATCTATTGTAATTAGTACGAATCGATTGTGTATCTCTCATTCAGATAGAGCTCGCGAAGCCTGATCCGATGTCTCTGTGCATGTCCGTAAGTGAATTCTGGGAAGTTATCCCCGAATCGAAGTTCCTCCCTCTAGTCTGATGAGAGATTGAAACGAATATATGCGGACCCCCATCGATGAATCGACTCCGAGTTCCTGTAGTTCCAGATAAACCGCCCCTGAATATGTATCCTAACATGCGTGACATAATTATGTCACGGATCCGCTCCACTTCCCGCCTTTGCCGCCTTCGCATTTGAAGGAGTTCCTGCTCCTGGCCGGTGAACGAGCCTCCCGAGGGCCAAAATCCTTTTATCCCTACAATCAAAATCTCAGCTAGAGAAAGCAACATAGTCGGTATTTCTACCTCCGCCGATAGCCCAATAGAGGATTTTGGGTCAACATGGTGTGTAAAGACGAGGCCGAATAGTAAATCACTATTGGTTTTATTCCTGTCGTGTGCTCTCTCCTGTCCTCGTCAAGGAAACATGCTCCTCCGCGAAAAACGGTGCTGAGTACAGCGCTCTCAGCGGACGGCATTTAGATTCTCATGCAAAGCTCACCTAGAGCCCTGCACTCACCCGGATTGAGCGTTTGCAAGTAGATATCTGCCTGCGCGACTGATATGCCATCATCTGAGAGTAGGAATATTTCTCCTCCTCGTGATCTCATCGAAGAGCAATTCTTGAAAAAACTCGCGTATTCAAAGCTCGCTTGATATTCTTCCAAATCGTCCGACCTCAAGTCGAAACACCTTCTGCGGACCAGGCTCTGTGACAACCCCTGGTCGATCTTGTAGAAGATCGTCAGTGTGTGTCCATGGGTCACAGCACAAACGAGATTGTCCACTCTGAATATCTCCGGGATACCGAGGACTACTCCATTGAGTTTCGACACGAAGAATGCTTGGGATCCTTGCCGCCACACCAGCCGTTTATACTCAGGGTTGAAATCTATGAAGGATATCTCTGAGTGCTCGACAGTATGAATCGGGACGAATCTTTCGTCGTCCACCCACATCATGATCGTACTCCTCAGGGGGGATCGCTCGGTTACGACAGCGAAGACGGAATGTGCTCTGGCGACAAAGCTTGTGCATTTTTCGAGGATCACTTCGGTGTCTCCATCACGATCGAGATGTTTCCTACAAACGCTGTTCCACATCTTGAACAGCAAGTAGGACCCGTACCGGAGGTAGAAATCGTTTACTTTCGTTCTCTTGAGGTCGAAATACTTGCCGAAAATATCCACCTTCTCCCAAGTGTTGTGATGGAAAACCGCCGTGTAGATACTCTCTCCACGATTTATCACGGCTGCCGGGACGGATTGCGAATCGAACGATATCGGTAGGGGTTCGAGCCCTAGACTCTCGAATCGCCGCCGGGTTTCCGTAATTAAGCCGATCGCTTTCGCTTCAATCGCTTCATCTCTCCAACACAGTCTTGAGAGGCGATGTAGAAGGTCGTCGTAGATACTCGCTTTCCGCAGCGGGCTTCTCACTAGCCGGGTGAACACGAATAAAGCAGCATCGATTGGGCATCCAGGGGGGAAGAGCTCCGAGCAGGTGTCTCTTCCGCGGAACAGCTCAACAAAGTATTTTTCGCTGTCTTCCTCCAAGCCTAGCTGTTCCGCGACCGAGATGAGCTGTAGGAGTTCACGTGGGTCTTTAGGATAGAACTGGCACATGTGCGCATGGAGGAACGAGCTCAAGCTTTCGATGGGCGCTCTCACTGTCAGGAGCGGGGGTCCGTCCGGGGATCGAGCTCTCAGCACGGGAGAAGCTTCCCATATGAGGCGGTTCAGGCAAAACGGTATTCCTTCCGAGCTTCTAACGGAAAACTTCATTGATTCGCCCATGTCAGTCTCGATATGGTCCCGATCGACGTTCCCGATCATCGAAAGCGGTCTCGTTCCAGGGACAGGTTGGAGATGCTCTGAGCCAAGCTAGAGAACAGGGAGTCTAGGTGCCTCTGATTCACGAGCATCATCCGATTGGGATGTGATGTCGCAACGAGGTTCTTTATCTTCGCTCCGCCATCGCATATGCCCCGAAGATGTCACTCGCATCTCGATTGAGCTGATTAGAAAAGTTAGACATAGAAAAGACGATCCAAAGCCACCAACATTATCGCAACTGCAAAAAAACTCGATCGAGACGATTGCACCCATCCCGAGAAATTCGATCGATGTAATCCATACCGTTCACAGACATCGTTAAAAGTGTTGATATTCTCTATAAAACTTCAGCGCTGGCGAGGCTTCGCCATCCGCCCTCGGGGAGGTTCAATGCGGAGCCAGCACCCATCCTTTCTTGTATCACCGTCAAAACAGCAGAGTTCTCAGGGATGGAGATAGCCGTGGGAAATGAGCACGATCCAGATAACTCTGCCGGCGACTCACACCTCGATCCTGACTCATCGCGCTAAGGGCAACGGCTCACGGCGGCTGCCCATGAGAGGAGACTGGGCTGGGGACCTCGATATCATTTCTTCGAAAGCTCGAGATCGAGGATGCCCTCCCGTTTCTTGGACGAGATACAAGCCTAGATGGACGGATTCGTCATCGGATGCTGGACAGCTTGTCTTCAGTCTCTCGCAGAAGTCTCGAGCTGTCATACATTGACAGTCCTATCGTCGCGCTGGCTGATATGTCAAACATCCCTCCGATCCCGTATGGGCCGCTCCATGAGCATTTCACTCCGGCCGACGAAGAGATCGACAGAATGGGATTTTCTAGACCGGCGGCTAGAAACACGACGTCGAATACTGATCGTTAGTCTATCCCGCAGAAAAGTCGCCGACCAAAGCGGAGCTCGGATCTTCCGACTCAAAAGTTAGCGCCAGACTGGTACAGCTGTGTCGTCTGCTGTGTCACTACGGTGTTGACGATTGACGACTCTAGAGAGCTCCTGGACCTGCGGTGAAAGCGCATCAGGAAAACATTGGAACACTCGGTGTCGGTCCCGAATGCGCTCTCTGAAAGAAAATATATTTGCAGCGTTCGCTCTCGGATAGAATGGCACAGGAGAACAAGGAAGAGGCAGATGTTGTCAAGGAGACGAAAAACGATGTCCAGGCGAAAAACCCGGAGAAAGCGCGGCGCGGGAGTGCATTCAAGGCAAGTATTTGAGTTCCGCAGATCTACCTGATGATACATTGTCTCGACTCCGACCTCACAGAGGATGGATGACAATTTTCGTCGTCAAAACTGATGATCCGCTTCTTTTCGCACAGATCGTCGTTCGACGGATGCCCCCGTCCATGACTGAGACTGATTTTCTGAACCAGTTCTCTCCATTACCTGAACATGACTCTTACTATTTCGCTGATGCCGACGGCAGGTTGGTAGACTTTGGAATAATCTTCTTAGATGCATCGCAAGCAGGGGTTCGATGGCGAGCAAGCGAATACTTGGAGGAAGAAGTGCTGAGGAGTCTCACGCTTTGTTCCAGCATGGGTGGAAATAGTTTCTCCCGTGCCTACATCGCGCTCCGCTCGCACCAAGACGTTCTAGAATTCAGGGACAAGTGGGACGATTATGTCTGTCTGGACGAGAGGGGTCAGGAGTACCCGCTAGTCGTCGAGTTCGCACCGTTCCAGAAGATGCCGCGCAAGAAACCGAAGAAGGCTGACAGCAAATGCGGCACCCTCGAGAATGGTACGGTCCAGGCCACGGGTTTGAATCTAACTCAGCGAATCGCTCTTTCCTCCTAGCGGGATACGCTTCGTCAAAGGAATCAGGGTCATTCTAAGATCTCATGGATATGGAGACTCCAATGTGTAATGAGATTATCAGTCCAGGTGCTATGCTTGACGTCTTTTTGAGAGTTTGTATATCCCCTCCCTGACTTTTCGGGGTTTCTTTTCAAAGATCCTGAATACCTTGAATTCCTCGAAACCATGGACCTCGAAGAGGGAATCGAATTGCCCTCCATGGAAACCACAGTAGAGGAACTTGAGAGACGAGACCGTGAGCTGAGAGCGAACAATGGAGTTCCTAACGTTCTCACACCTCTAATTGAATTCGTACTCGCTAAGAAAATGGAGAAGCTCCGACTGCGAGAGGAGAAGAGGGAAGAGAAAAAGCGAAAAAGAGAGATGGAAAGGAAGAAATCCCGAGACGAGAAACGTAGGCCGAAGAGGGTTTTCACGGCAGCCAAGGTACCTTTTCCTCATTCTTCTCATGGCGGGGAAACCTTTCGATGCATGCAAGGAATGGGGAATTTTGAAGACTCGATCGAAACGCTCGGATGATAGAATATACTGCCTTCTAGGGGGTTCTTATGTATAATCCGTCTCTCGATGCGTATGATGATCCTGCTAGAATGTTCTACCACTTTTTTAGATAAACAAAGATGGGGTCATCCGCGAGGAATCCGAAGAGGAGACAGTTCTGTCGGAGGAAGAATCTCGCTCGGAAAGCTTGAAGAAAAGCAAGCCCAGGGCACCGAAAGCTCTACCGAAGGCTTCGAAGAACAAGCAAAATCGCGAAAGGTGAGAAAAACCAATCTAGGATCCATCCCCGAATAATTTATTCTTTCTTGAAGTATACGGATATTTGACGGAAGCACTTCTCAGTATTACGAGCAGTCGAAACTTCTATCATTCGCTCTCATCAGGACCCTTGAGGAGGAGCCGGGTTTCTCGGGCAGACAGAGACCTGGTCGATTGTCTCAAGAAAGGGAAGACAATATCCGATCTGCAAAATATTCAGAAGAAGAGCCGAGAGCTCCGAGGAAGTCCGCTAGGTGAGTTCAGGGTCCTCTCCTGATCGAAAACCACGCGCTAAATTGTAGGAATTCTCGGAACTACTCGCTTCGAGAAGTCAGAGTCCCGAATGAATATTGAACTCTCTCTCCCAGAGCTCATGAATCCGGGGACGTCTTCGAGGAAGACAGGCCAGGACCTTCAAGCCGACGCGAGAGAAGGGGGCCGAGAAACGCTGAAAGACACAAAAATAGCAATTCGTTCTCGGAATCTTCGTCGAAAGAACTTGCCAGCTCTTCGCACGAGGCCCCCGAGTCGAGACCTTCGGACGCGGTTGCTAGCAAGGCAGAACGATCGGAGCGCAAGGACAAGCAGAGCAGGAAGGAGCGGCCGGCAGAGAAGAAACCTCGACCGGCTCGAAAAGACGAGAGGCAGCAGCCAAAGAAGGAAACGCAGCAACCGTAAGCCATGGAGTGAATGGCCAGGAGATTGTACATGTCAGAAGGTGTGAATTTTTCTGTGTTATTCGTTGCGTCTCTGAGAACCTCATTCCCCTCTTCGATAGGAAAGCCCAGTCCAAGCGATACTCGGACATCCGACCCGGCGCGCAAGAAAGACAGCACCAGGCTTCGGATGAGAGCAAGGACTCTTCACATCAGTCTGAGGGTGAGAAATCTCTGAACTTGGTTCCATCCAAGGCCCGGAATCATCGGCAGGACCAACGGAGTTCCAAAGTGCGGAATAGGGTGAGTGAAGTCCCATCTCTTCGGATATATGTGGAGCTAGCTTCGAGAATTTTCGCAGAAGTAGGACTGATCGATGTTCTTCCGATCACGCATTCATATTTCAATTTCTCTCAAGGACCGACCAGCCCTGGAGATCTACCGCCCCGGCCAGCGGAAAAAACAGGACAGCTCCGAGGACCGGAGCGCGCCTGATGCTGAATAAACAAATTGTTGATCGTTACATTTTCAAAGAGCATTTCCGCCTGTTCCTGTCGTGCTTTGTCGGGCGGAGGCTATCAAGGGAAAATATTTCAGATCAATCAGTTTCTCCGAATTGAATACCCACATCCAAGCTGGAAAAAAATCCCGACAACCGACTGCCGCGACAATACTTCAAACCCCATATCAACACCGCAGTAAACTATGAGGGCAGCTCTCTATGCGAGAGATGGGAATGATCTGCATCTCAGGTTTCGGTCAACTGTTTGAAGGGGATCAGAGGGATAAAATCAAATATTGGGCCCCTCAGAACTCTATAGGCTGTACCACTGCCGCTGCAGGCTACGTCGGAGTGCAGAGATGTGGAAGGCTTCCGGGAGATCTCGAACAGCCCGGGTTGACCGGGGAAAGGAGCGCGCAACCATAAGGAAGGTTTCGAGGATGAGAGACATGCCCGTCCATCAGAAAGCTGATTCCATTACCGCATAGCCCACAGGCGGCGGGCGCAAACAATTTAAAAGACTCAACGACCGCGACCCTTCGATACAGGTTCCGCCCCTTCCGGGGAAAATGGGCAGTGGATCCTCAGGAAGCCTCCCGGAGGGATATTGGGGTATTGGTGCGCTCAGCTTTCGTCAGCTTCTCATCGGCATCGGTAAAAATTCAGAGGTAGCAGCAGAGCCACTACCGTGAAGAGGACGTGAAACGCCTTCGGAATGGCCATTCGTAGGACTCGAGCATCGTCATTATCTCTTTAAACTCATCAGCTCGTACTTTTAGGTCTCATTATCACTGGTGAAGTCGAAATCTTCACCGAAGTTGGGAAAATATCTTCTTCTGAGTTTCGAAAGAGGTGGATGCGGAATTGCGTTGCTAGCCATTGGGCCGTTACGCGCGCTCTGGAAATTCGAAAATGGACAAGTTTCGTCACATTTTTTGTGAAATACTAGGCCAACCTTTTTAAAGACGTTTCACGTCAAAATGGTAAGATAAGATCGACGCGAAGCCGCCACAACAACACATCTGTATCCTACCGGTTCCCTGGACCGGATTAGAGCTTCGGTGCAGTGATTGGGATAAGAAGGCTCCAAAGCATCGGACGAAATTGTTTTTCGGAAAATGATTATTATCATAATATTTTCGAAACGCCTAGTGTCGATTTCGCCGGCTTTAGGGAAGGTTGGCGACTTGTAACCATCATGGTCTTCCGTTCAGTTCGAAGCAGACGACGCTTCCGAAGGATTGTTCGCACACGCACACGGTGTGTAGCGCCTAAAGTCCGTCGCTACAGCGAATCGGCGAGTGAAGAAGGAAGGGGCGTACCATGCTGAGGTCCACAACGAGGTTGACTGCAGCAGCGTTCACCCCGCGATTCCTCAGCTCGACGCAGAATCACGTGGCATTAAGCAGGGCCAGCATTAGTTTCGCTCGTTATCTCAGTGAGAGAAGCAACGGGGAATTAGAATCACAGCGAAGGATCAGTCGAGTTCAAGTAGTCCGTCGACCAACCCAGTCCTGCCGGTTTTATTCCACGGAAAGGTTCGTGGCTCAAACTGACTGGGAGAATTCTTCGAGACGGTCTTTTAAAAAAATCTCGGGTGCCTGACTGTGAAATAAACACTCTTGGACCGTTGAGGGACCGGTCTGTAGTTCGGTGCAGGAACCAAGCGGCGTTTTTCTTGCAGGGGACAGATGGCTACAGCAGAAACTCTCAGTTTCCTCAAGACCAACGTTCGGATCGAGGATGGTCTCAGCGCCGACTACGACTGTGTAGTGATTGTCGGTACCTCTTTGTGCCCGAAATCGTTGGGCAAGGCTGAAATCTACGCCGCTGCTCTTGGAGCGATCGAGAAGACTGACGAGTCGTTCGAAAAAACACTGACCTTCATCCACGTCGATGGAGCCCGCGTCGTGTATTCCCCCACCGGACCTCTCAACAGAGATCAAGACGACATCCGAGTTTTCTCTGACGCGGCGATCAAGGGCGTGAAGAGAGCCTTGTCTGCCGGCGCGAAGAAACCCCTAGTCGTTCTCCCGAAAACTATCGAGCCCTTCACGGATTTCAATGTTGACGCCGCCGTGGTTCTGGGAGCTCTGGAAGCGATCTATGTTCCTCTGGAAATCCGCGAGGACGTCCCTGAAAAGAAGAGGAAAGTCGAACGCCTTGGTTTCCTCAACTTCGGCGGCGACGCTAAACGTTTCCAGTATCTCCTGAGTCTAGAAAGCGGACGTCTCGCGTGCCGAGACATCGGGGGTTCCGACCCCGAACGCATGGCCGCCCCGAAAGTCGAGGAATACGTAAAGGAACTTTTCGCCGATTCTCCCGTGACGGTGCGAGTTATTTCCGACCGGGAGCAACTCGAGGCGAACTACCCGTGTCTCGCCGCCGTAGACAGATGCGCGAGACACGTGGATAGACATGGAGCCCGTATGATTTTTCTCGAGTACTCCGAAGGTACTCCGGAGCAGTGTCTCGCATTCGTGGGCAAGGGAGTCACTTACGATACCGGAGGCGCTGACATCAAAGTCGGGGGTATCATGGCCGGCATGCACAGAGACAAATGTGGAGCTGCTGCCGTCGCTGGAATATTCCAGACCCTGGCTCTCACAAAACCGAGGAATATCAAAGTTATTGGCGCGATGTGCATGGTCAGGAACTCAGTGGGATCGGACGCGTACGTAGCCGACGAGATCATCACCTCGAGAGCTGGACTCCGACTCCGTGTGGTGAACACCGACGCCGAAGGCCGACTGGCAATGGCTGACGCTCTGGCGGAGATGAAGGAACGCGTCATCGCCGACGGACTCGAAGGCAAAGCCCATCTGTTCACTATCGCGACTCTGACCGGACACGCGCGCTCTGCTGTGGGCCCACCTTTCTCCATAAGCTTGGACAACGGGCCCGCCTGTCGCCAGGAAGCGTCCCGGAAGTTGCGGGCCGCAGGCGATGAGATCGGTGACCTTTTGGAAATATCCACGGTCCGAAGAGAGGATTACGATGCCGCGAACAGCACCTCCGAGTACGAGGACTTGCTCCAATTTGTTCGGAAAAAGGGCGCTCCCCGGGGACATCAACTGGCGGCCGCTTTCTTGATTCGAGTCTCGGGATTAGACAAGCACGGCAAGGACAGCTCGAAGCCCTTAGCTTACACTCACCTGGACATTGCCGCAGCGACGGGAGAGTTCCCGGGCACTCCGACGGGATCCCCCATTGCTGCTCTCGTCCAGAGATTCATATATCCGAGAATTTGACGCGATCGAGGCGTTTCTGAACTCAATGCCGATCGGTGACCGCACATTGTTGTACCATGAGCCGACCCGAATAAATAAAGCATCCTATCACTACCTCTGAATTAGATTCAGATTCATTCCTCGTCCAGCATGCTCTCTAGCCGGTGGTCGCTCCGGCTTAGTAATGGAGCTCATATTCGCCGAAATCTCCGAACTTGTTTCGGAGGAGGCAGCTTGTCAACGGAGAGCATGAAGGTGCCCATCACTCTATCCCACGCTCGAGGTCTGCAATTTCTGGGAAGTGGATATTCCCCCATGGGATTATGATCTGAGAAACTTCAGAGAACTACCGAATATGGAGCGCTCGACTCCCCGAAGAAGTCTCATCGTCAGAGGAGCCACGATCTCGTTCCACTGCTGTCCATTTTTCGAGCTCCTTCGCAGCCCGGTTGTCGAGGCAAATGCGTTCATCGCTCCGCACAATAATTGTGTCGACGACAGACGACAACAACAACGCAAGACACCGGCGCGTGAAACGACTCAACTGAGAACACCAACAGGCCACCGCGGTGAGTGGGTCGGCAATGTATTCATTCAGGCTGGACCTCGTTCTGGACTACGGAGCGGTGCTGTCTCCGCCTAGCATGGGGCATCCGGTGTTAGCGGGAGAGTTCTCAGACACCTGATTCTGACGCTCCTCTCAGTTCGAATAAGCAGCATACGGAATGTTCGGTCAATTCTTTCTAGCAGGAGCACAATAAACGATAGGATAAGCAATCCACCATTACCGAGCTCAAACCGAAGTCTGCACGGTCAAAAACCGCGAGAAGAAACGTCCATGAAGTGAGAGTCGGATTTGTCAAAAAGGAATGAGTCATCGCTTGTTATCACTCGATTGCTCGAGTATCGGAGCCTGTCAATGTTTGCTGAGGGGAATGAGTCCGAATTCCCCGCAGTGTAGAATCGATTGATTCTGGCAGGGCTTATTGAGGACCATGGATCCGCCAGAATTATTATCGATGTCTGGGAGATGCCAAACTTTGACCGATAAATCCCCGTTGAGACAGGGGGCTATATCTTCCGCTGATTGTGCTGGATAGACACTCCGTGAATCACCGATAGTTCGGCTGAGCGTGAGCCGACGCTAAGCTTGCCGGTGAGCTCCTCCCGGCCGGCTTTAAAATACAGCTCAAGTAGTCTAGTATTGTCACTTGGAGTCCGAGCGTTGTCGTCTCAAACAGCCGGTAGGTTCTCTCCATGATATTGAAACTGAGGGATGGAACATGGAGGAGTCTTCCTGTCCCTCAGGAAGGCTCCCCCAATAAATTCCTTCGTCATCGGAGTTTCGAAGTGGAAGGGAGGGATCCTCCGTGAATCTCTATGCTACCCGACAGCTCCTCCAAACATTTCCGGGGGCTTGACGGAACCACCCGGTGGGATGTGCCGAAGTCCCGATTCACAGCAATCTCACTCTTGAATCCGGTGGCACGATTCATGCTCAGAGTACCCGCGTAGATGTTCTTCCAAAGCAACAGCGTTTCTCTTATCGAACCTCCTAACTCGATCCTTCTCCTCCATAGATCCAGCATGGCAGCGAAAGAAACGCTGAATTTTCTGACGGCGAATGTCCGAGTAGAGGAGGTGATCACGAGCGATTACGACTGCCTCGTCATAGTCGGAACTTCTCTATCACCGAAGTCTCTGGGTAAAGCCGAAGCTTTCGCAGCCAGTCTCGAAGCCGCCAAGAAAAATGACAAGTCTTTCGACGAGCAACGCACAGTGATCACAGTGAACGACACCAGAGTCGTATACTCGCCCACCGGACCCATCAACCGAGATCAGGACGATATCCGAGCGTTCTCGAGCGCAGCGATCAGCGGTGTGAAAAGAGCGCTCTCCGCCGGAGCCAAGAAGCCCCTCGTCGCCCTACCGAAAGCGTTCGAACCCTTCACGGACTTCAACGTTGATGCCGCTGTCGTACTGGGTGCTCTGGAAGCTATCTATGTGCCTTTGGAAATCCGCGAGGACGTTCCGGACAAGAAAAGGAAAGTCGACCGGCTCGGTTTCGTCAACTTCCACGGCGACGGAAAACGGTTCCAATATCTCCTCAACTTGGAGTCGGGACGCATCGCTTGCCGGGACATCGGCGGTTCCGATCCCGAGCGCATGGCTCCTCCAAGAGTCGAAGAGTACGTTCAGGAACTTTTCGCCAATTCCCCCGTGAGTGTGAAAGTCGTCTCCAACCGAGAACAGCTCGAGGCAAATTACCCATGCTTCGCTGCCGTGGACAGGTGCGCGAGCCACGTGAAGCGACACAGCGCCCGAATGATTCTACTCGAGTACTCCGAAGGTACTCCCGAGCAATGCCTCGCATTCGTTGGCAAGGGGGTCACTTACGACACCGGAGGCGCCGACATCAAGGCCGGAGGCCACATGGCCGGAATGCACAGGGACAAATGCGGGTCTGCCGCCGTCGCCGGAATCTTCCAAACCCTTGCGGTGACGAAGCCGAAAAACATCAAAGTTATCGGCGCAATGTGCATGGTCAGGAACTCCGTGGGTTCTGACGCGTACGTTTCCGACGAACTCATCACGTCGAGAGCCGGTGTTCGAATCCGGGTCGGGAACACCGATGCCGAGGGTCGCATGGCGATGGTCGACGCCTTGGCCGAGATGAAGGAACGAATCGTCACCGAAGGACTCCAGGAAAAAGCGCATTTGTTCACTATCGCAACGCTGACGGGTCACGCCTGCATCGCCGTCGGGGAGCCTTTCAGTATCACGCTAGACAACGGACCTGCCCGGAGCGTTCAAGCATCCCAGAAGCTCCAAGCTGCCGGCGACCAGATCGGTGATCTCTTCGAGATTTCCACGCTGCGTAAGGAGGACTACGATTTCATCGTCGGTAAATCCGAGTACGAAGACATCCTCCAATGCAACAACGCTGCCTCCTCATGCACGCCCCGCGGGCATCAGTTCCCTGCCGCGTTCCTCATCCGAGTCAGTGGGCTCGACAAGCACGGCAAAGACAGCTCTAAACCTCTGGCCTACTCTCATTTGGACATCGCCGCGTCGTCTGGGCCTTATCCTGGCGTTCCATCCGGCGCGCCGGTGGCGGCTCTCGCTCAGAAATACATCCTGCCACGCATCTGAATAGGCGGATTCTCGAACTCTCCGGCTGAATAGTCGGAGGTTGATATCTGCATCCAGGTCCGAGTCCCGCTGAGCCTCTGGAGCCCGAAAGACAATTTGAAGAACAGAGAATCTTCCGCGGACTCTCCAGTCGAGGAATTCTCCCAGTCTCGACGGGCTCTCGCTGATCTCGCCGCAGATGATGAGGGATGTCGACGATGTGTTTGCTTCTCTATGATTTATTCGAACAGATGCTACTGTTTCATATCTCGGAGAAACTTCAGCAAGTGAGCTCTGTTCAGAAGTCGAATCGACGCATCCGAATAAAGACGATAATATATTTTCATGGACTTCTCGCGGAGCTCGTTAGCCCCCGAGACCCTTCCTTCGGGACGAACCCTGATTCCTCTCACGCTGACATCTTCGCTCGAATAGGATAATGGTTATTGGTCATTATGGGCTTGAGATTTCTAATGTTTTCGTTGCAGAGCAATGAGAAACCTCGGCGTGGCTCCAAGGATGCTTAGACCGATATGTGGAGGTTCTGTGCTCATTGGGGTCATAAGTCGAGTTCGCAAATGGACAACAAAACTTTCACTTTATTGGAGACGTTCGTTGGTTCAACTATGAGGCGGAAGCGGTCAACTCAGAAATGTTCCGAAGAGAACAGTCGACGAGGTGTGAAAAAATTGCTATCGAGGGACGATACGTCATGAACATCTTGATTATCGAATATTGCAGATCAATTAAGTAGACTAGCTTTCCTTCCACACTTGGAGCTCACATCCGATTCGTTCGGGGATGTTCCATCATGGAGCATCAGGCACTCTTCTGACATTGAATATCCAATGCGAGCGCTAACGATTCAGAAAATCGAAGCTTGAGAAAATTGCATGGACTTGTTCAAAATATCTATAATAATCTTACAATTAGTTTTCGCAATCACCAGCGATTCTGCCGCATACACAGAAACATTCATGAACATATATGTATAACAGAGCGATGCAATCGAGCTCTTTTCTCGAGCTTTCCTGCGATAGTCGGAAGAGATCGAGGGAGTCGAGCATTCCGTTTGTTGCCGTGACCCTGAAGATTTGATTCACGAAGATCTGTCGGGAAATGAAACGGTCGAACAGTTGAACGAACAATACGGTTGACGAACGATATGTCACGAACACACAAGTCACCCTTGAGTCTCTTTTTTGCGGGCAGCACTTCATGAAGGAAGCTGAAACTTTCGATCGACTCCCAATTATTCCGCGTAGAATCTCAGATTCGGAATGGACAACCTCCGCTGTCCGAGTTTCTTTCTGGAGAGCCCAGGGACGGCCTATTCCTTGCATCGAAAACTGCACTCCCACGCTCTCTCGAAGATCTAAAGCGTCTCGTACTGAGAACGATCGTTCAAGAATGCTTCAAGAGGATCTTCTTCCACTAGAGACGCCCCAGGATCTCTCCTCTTCTTGGACTTCTTCTTCGTTTTCGATTTATCTGATTTTTCGCCCACATCGGACTGCTTGTCCTTCTCCTGGAACGAAACGAGGTATCAAATTGTTAGGCCCCCGCAAACCCATCCGACTTCTCCGTTGATTGAGGTGGTTCGTATGATGATCGAGTTACCTTCTTCGATTTTTTCGATGATCTCCTCTGATGCTTCTTTGATTTGTCTTCGTCTTCGATTGATATCACGGCTTCCGCTTCCGGATCACGATTCGGTGGTATGTTCTCGAAAGCTTTCTTTTCTAACTCATCCAGATCGTGAGGTTGCCATTCGGCTGGAGAGCTCGTACCTGCCGGAATCCACGGGTTCATTGGAGCTCAACGCATGGAAACCGAGAATTCTAAGGGCTTTCACATCGTCTGTAGAAATGCATAGGATCTTACCATCAGGTTCCTCCCTCTCCAGCTTGTGGATCTCTTCTTGCAACTCCGGACTCGCCCTGCTGTTCGTTTCAATAGCCTCTTGCTTGACATCCATTCGACGAGGCAAGTTTGTCGGCAACAAATCTTCGGGATCCAAGTCATCCTGGAAACCGCATACGAGAGGATTGCCGATCCTCCCCTCATCGTCGCTGTCGCTTTCAGCCTGGGTTTCCTTCGACGGGCTGTCGTCGTCCGTTCCCTCGAGGAACGCGTTCAGATCCCCTCCAGGGCCCCCACTGCCTACGACCTCAATGGCCTCGATCGCCTGATCGTCGCCGTTTCTAGCACTCTTTGAAGGCAATGACTTTTTCGCTTGTGGATGTTGACCTTTATTGAGGATCGTGTTGGCGATTTCCGGGGGCAAGGTGACATTTTTCGGCAGCTTCGACGGTAAGACACCCTGTCCTGTGATTTTTCCTGCCGATGCACCGGGCACCGCTGCAACTACGACGAGAACGAGCTGTGACACAAAATTGTCTTCGAGGTATTCGGTCAATGGGGATTCGATGGGGACCACAACTTACTGTTGGCACAACTTTCGGCAGCCTGACGTCTCTTCTGGCCAAGGCGGTCGACGAATAAATCATAATTGGCTTCGTCAGATTCAAGCAACAAGTCCAATTCCTCACAGGTGGCCTCGATCTCGCGCCGATTACGCTCCAGCTGACCAAGCAGAGCTTCTCGTTGTAGCTGCAGGAAATTGAGCTTAACTATAATCGATATGGAACTCGGAATTTCGGGAGTAATTCTGTCAGCGACCATCTCAAAAGCATTCCATCTTTCGTCTACCACCGATCCTTTCGAGGTCCCACCTACCTGTAGGAACGGAACGTTGAAAAATTTGTGCAAAAATCTCAATCCGAACCCATTGCTCATTGATGATTCTGCGTAGCGAACTGGAGCGCCAGAACGGCCAAGACTCTCGATGAAAAACTTGACTTGATCCTCACTCACGGCCCTGCGCATTTAGATTTCTCACTCAGATTACTTCCGGATTTCTCACATTCGAGGATCAGATTTTCTGCCGAGCGTCCGAGCGGATCATGACCGACCTGTGATGCTTCATGTCCAGATGATTAGCCAATACGAGCACCGGAATGTGTTCGGGAACTTTGCGGAGTTCACGTTGAATATAATCGAAGGTCCACTGTTTTGTCATGTCTAACATCATTATCACCCCGTTCGTACCCTGGAGTAGATCACAAATTATTTCTCGGCTCCGGAGGATGGTAAGAGCTGACCTTCGGATTATCATGGACCCGAGAGAAGGGAAGGGAAGCTGGTGGCGAGCCCCGTTCGGAGCAAGGAGTCCTAATCCGACTAACCTTGTAAACATCGATGAATTCAGCGTCCAGAGCGGTCTCTACTTCAGGCACGACTGTGGCGGTGGAACCGTTCAACTTCAATCCATCTAAGGGTCTTCGTTTCCGGCCTTTATCGACAACGTCCCAAATCTCGACCTGTCCGGAGGGAAATCAAAAGCGTGTGTTTTTGGGTCTCCGAGATGAATATGCTCCTCCCCGAGCCAGGACTCCCTATGTCATCCTCCCTCTCCGTGTGATGAGCTGCGTCTAGTCTAGATTGTCCGCCTTGATGCCGGCGGGATCAGATTTTCGTGAACGACTATCTGCCGACGTCGAAGCGCTACCCACGTCTGGCACCTAGAGACGAGTTGACGCGACACCTTTTCGATGCCGATCCCTCCCGGAACCCAGCCACTTTCAATAGAATGGATGTCGGTTCCTATCGCTCTAATTATCCCACAACTCACCTTAACGATATCGTCGGTGGCTTTATAACTCCATTGAATGTGGCACACTTGAATTTCTTCCGTCGGGGTGTACTCCGACTCGAATTTGGAGCCTTGCAGCCGTCGCCAGAGGCAGGTTTTTCCAACGTTTCGATCCCCCTTTATAACGATTTTCACTGGAAATGCAGAGATGCTCTTTTAGAGAGTGACATCCCTGGAGCTCCGCTAAAAATTCATCTATATGCCGTCGAGCATCTTGATAATCGCTTGGTGGAGACTTCTCCTTCTATTACTCACTGTTGTAATGTACCCCCTTGGAAAACATTTTCTGGAGGTTCCTGTCGATTGCCAAGGGTTGACCCGGTCGAGATGCGGTTTTCGGACTCGCTCCGTCTCCCCCAGCGGCATCGTTGGTGCTCACGAGTTTCTTGAGGGCAGTGAACATCTTCACGAGACGGTCGATTTGTCCCCTTCCGCTGTTTCAATCTGAATCATTGAGATCGTTAGGGAACGTTGACCGCCCTCTTTCCGAATGGATGACATTTTGGAACTCCGGAGGACCATACATTGGATGCTCTCCATCCAGCTCCGTTCCCCAACCTCGACAACCGCTATATCCGGAAGTGACTCACACCCTCGACAGGATACAATCCCGCGATAAATTTCGCAGTGGCATGCGTGATAATTTCACATGGTCGAGAGAATGGCGCGAAAAGTGAATCTAGAGCGGAAGACTTCGGAACTGGTCTGAAACCCTTACAGGAAGGGCCAGACCTGAAGTAAAAGCGGGTTCTCGATCTCAGACCGCAGCTGGCAGCCAGAGTTGGAAATGTCATCGTTTACCTCTTGAGCCCCCGCTAGTTCTATCTTTTCGATATCACGCCCTCACCCCGGGGGGAATCTAGCAAAGGCAACCAGGTCTCAGTGGCCGAGGACCCTCAAATTCACAGGCGAACAGCACCCAAAAGCTGAACCGCCGAGCCGATTACGAAAGTCCCGTTAGAAGCCAACGGAGTCGGGCCAACGGATTGGTGCGACCGTTCCCCTCCGCTTTCCTAGTCCCAAGCATGGATCCGCACATTCGTAATCCGGTGGAAAGCGCTGAGTTTGGAAGCTCCCAGTGTCTGATCTTTTTTTCTCCCTTACGAGGCATCACTGGTCAGTATTTGTCCGAAGGGGCTCACCTGCTGTCATCGGAGGAGCATCCACATGAATCCGACTCCCAAGAAACGCAAAACGAAGCCGCACTAACTTCGACTCTTAAAAAAAAATATTCCGAACTATTTGTACACTTAGGGAGCCTCTGGATTATCGGAACTGTATTCCGGAACCCAAATCCTCATGATAAACATCGACGGATTACAGGGATCCAGCCCCCTCTCATCTCGCCAAACAGCTGTGGGCTTGATCTTTCATCGTTCCGTCGTTTAAGTGAATCCATGGTCCGCCGAGGAATCGTGTCGGCTGCTGGGAAGCGCGGATCCATTCAAAGGAGGCAGACCCGCGCGGAACTGCTTTCGTATTCTCCCGATGCTCCGAGTGGAACCTAAACTTTTTCGGGCTGATCCACACAGCCAAGGTTCAACGTCCCGGGTACTGTTATTCACATTGCTTCCGAGGACGGATCCATAGAGCAAATGTACCCAGGAGGATCAAGGCCGAGTACCTGCATATTTTTCCGGTTCGATCCCTCCGAGTGGAACCTGAATATACTAAACTGATCGAGGTTTCTCAGAGGTTGAGGAATAGAAGCACTTCGATGGGCATGTCACTGGGTATGTTTATTGCGGGTATCGCGACCGGTTGACAGAGTCGCAGGGGGTTTATCGACTTGAGTTTAATTCTCTACATTTTGAACACCGACGAGCGAAAATTTACAACTCCATTGTTAGACTTCCTCGATCATGAAATGTACAGCAAGAGGATTGGCACAGGAGAGAGGGGCGTATTCAGCGCTGAAATTTCTCAGTAAAGCATGAAGGTAGGAGCATGGAAGAGACGATTTTCGTGGGTGAAGGGAGCAGACGAAGCAAGAACTTCGACTATACGGCATAAGGACTCCAAAGTCCCGCTCGATTGAGTACGTTTCTGCCAACAGCATGCTTGGATCGAGTTTCTTGCGAGCTCGACCGCCTCTGCTACATCTGAAATCTTCTCCGGCGAATCGCAGATCAGCCATAGAAGGGACCTCCATGAGGACCTACGAAGTGATCCACAGCGGCGAAGTGAGCTACGGGAGCTGCCCCGTAGTGTCCTCCGTAGTGACCGATTCCATACAAATGGGGACCATGAGCATGACCCACCAGCCCATGACCATATGGTGGTGGCTTCGCGTAAATCGGAGCTGCGAAGTGGGCGGCGCCGTGCAAACCATGGAATCCGTGGTGGCTCCCAGAAGGCGCTGTGGGACCGTTGGCACTGTGATAAGCGGCAGCAGCCGCATAGGACGTCTGTACAAGTAGGCGGGATCGTTACTCGAGTTGAATACAATCAGTTCAGGGGTTCATGCCCGAACATTTCCAACAAGCTCCCCCTAATGAAAAGTCTTTTCTTCTATGAAGCTTGCCGACTCCGAATCACGTCGCCATGCGGAAGAATTCCTCACCTTGGTTCCGGGTTCGTTGGTTTTGATCTGAGCGCGGAAACCGGCTTTATCAGCGACGTAGTGCACAGTCCGGTGACGACCGTCGATGTCACCGATATAGTACGAACCCACAACACCGTGCGGTCCTCCCGACTCCTTCCGGCCGTTCGCTGCTCCGTGACCATTTTTGATGTCGTAGGCGAAAGCATAGTTCCCGTGGTCCTTTGAAAACCGAGCCAAAGTTCAAAGTTAGGAGTCTCAGAGAGAAAACCGCTTAAGCTGACCCTCGGAGGCTCTTTTCGAGTAGAAAGGTTCAAGATCAAGAAGAGGAGATTATTCTGACAGCTTGGTCAGAAAAGGTAGGTGAACAGAACTCACGTCTTGCTTCCTGAAGGAAGTGGAGTGACCGAAACTCGCCTGGCATCGAACGAACACGGCTGACACAACGAGTGATGAGAAAACTAGAGTCTGCGGGATTATAAAAAATTATTCCCTGCTCTCGAATACGGCCGCCGGAGCGGAATGGAACTCGCAGCTCCATCTCTCAGGATCTAGGATCACATGCGACCTCAGATACTGGCGAATCGGAGAGAGCAACGAGGCTCAAGAGCAAACATCTCTCGATTGGTCCGAATCCTGCGCTCGGAGTCTACCCGAGACAGGCTTACAAGAAACCCGAGGTGATTTACCTTCATCTTGCTGCTCTGGTTCGGTGTCGCGGTCGAAGTGGATTCTGACTGGCGATTCCCGTGCTTCATATACAGCGCAGAAGAAAGCCTTCCAACGTGGGAATGCGGGGTTTTTAGCTTCTCCGCCACACTCGCCTTCTGGGCACTTGTGGCGACTTACGTGAAAATCGTTGTAATAGAGCAAGTTGTCCACAACTAGACCTCCCGGGCATTTTTGTCCCGGTGCACAAAATCAACATCGTCGGGGAATTCACTGAACAAGATTCGAGCAAAACAAAAATGCATCGCGAGACGGGATCACCTTGTTGAAATTGGGAAAAGCCACCCGTGGGAGCCGAATTCCCTCCCTATGTCGAGGGATTTCTCAGAAACTTCGCGAGCAGAAAATTGATCGTCTGGAATATTCCGAATTCCCCGAGGAAAATTGCTGGTATTCCGAAAGTGTGACTCGAATAATTTTGCGGAAAAGACGGTCGGAGCAATTCACTGCGATTTGGCCAGATATCGTCGCATTCGAACGGGGTGTTGTTACTGCGATGAGAAGCTAGGTGGTTATCGAGCCTAGATTCCGAATTCAATCTGCTACGCAATCCGACAGCGCAACTGAATATGCATGATTTCGGTGAGAGCCGGGCTCCCGACCGGCCTCTCACCTCCGAGCAATCCACCGATAAAATCATCTGTAGACCCTGTCTATTCGGCAAACGATCTGTAGAAGTCGAGAGCGGTGAGATATGACAGTGAGATATGACGTAATCGTTCTCTACGCCGCTGTGCTGTCGTCGTCCTGGGCTGGTGAGAGCGCTTTTCTTGAACTAGAAGTTTCACCGAGAGAAATCATTCTTCTCCATTCGGCGACGTCTCCTGGAACTGAGTAGAGAAGGAGGCTCGACCTCTGAAAGTTTAAATGACGTAGAGATTCTTTTGAGTAGAAGGGCTCACTTGGCGCGAGGAGTGCTGCATCCTAGACAAGGACAAGATCTGCCCATGTCGCATCAAAATCGAGTCGAGCAAATGGCAAGCGGGTCAGGAACAACAGGTGAATATTGACAGGTATTGAGTAAGCTTCCGATAGAGTCCCGTCGATCCAATCCCCTCCGACGCCAACACAGCACCGGAATTCTTCGGGTCTGGGCTTTCGGACCTCTCGGAGACTCCTACGCAGGGATTCCGTCGAGAATACCGTGAATGAGTTCCTGACTGAGAGACAACGGCGTCACTGATACCGATGCGTTTTCACAGCGAATCAGCAGGAGATACTGCGACTTCGCGTTGATATCGTTCCAGAAGATGAATCCCACCGCGGCGCATAAGGAAGCCATTCGGGTCCCTGAGATCGCTCCAACGCAAGTAGGAGAGCTCGATGATACTCTCACGGGAGGGAACCTCATCTCGACTCCGATTCCATCGAGCACGACACGGACGAAAAGAGTCCCGTTTAGGAGAGTTCTGTGTTGCCGTCGCCTCTTCCGAGTTTATTTTCCGCGGGGATGCCACATTTGCATTTCGGGCTGATCTTGTGTCCCAGCTGTCAATTGGAGCAGTTATCCGAGATCATGGAGTAATCAATAAGGAGGAACGAAGATTGGGAGCCCAGGCCGCCGACAAAATCGAGGAATTTTTCTCATCTGTTCCCTAGAGCTCCGTCCCGATCCGTCCGATCGACAGTACCACATTCTCGAGCTGGTGGGGTTCTTCCCTTCTTCCGGAGACGACTCTGCTGAGACTAATCGCCAGACTCCTCATCGTGATCAGCGAGCTTCTTATTCGTCTGTGTCTCACAATCAGTCACTTACACAGCTTCTTCATATCGGCAAAGAGTTCCAAAATGGAAAACTTGTACGAAGTCCCATTCTGTTGCTTGTCGATCTCAGATCTCAAGTAATGGAATGCACCAATCCGTTATTCCGACTTGCCTCCTTTCTCACTTCTAGAAGCAATTTGTTGAATGGAGCGCGGTGTAGAAGCATCCGAATGCATGATTTCGACGCTAAAAATTCGTGAATAAAACTATATCGTTCTCCAGCACCCGTTCCGTCTTTGAGAGACTTCGGGAGGAGCCCAAAACCAGAATTCGTGGGGAGGAACTCTTTGACTTATAGCCGCAAGCAGGATCGAGACCTCAGCAAGACTCCTTAATCGAAGGAGAGCGCTCCTCCGAAGTCGACATGTTCTCTTCCGTTGGGAATTGCTTTCGGTTTGACAGACCTCTTCGCGCTCAAGTTCCAAGGGGTCCTGGGAGGGCTAGAAGCGGCATCGTGTATCCAACAAGCCACGAGCAAGGGAAGGGAGAACTCGCGTCGGTCTCGTCGATCGGAGGATGTAGAAACGATCAGGAAGACTCGGGTGAGCGTCCATCCCAGGCAATGTTCGCGAATCAGAGACCGAATGCGGGGCGATCAGTCAAACAGTGGCTACGATTTCCTGAATGACGGTGTTGCTACTCCCATTCACGGATAGACGTCGGCATCAATCATGTGTGACATTCATGGAAAATATGAAGATGTCGAGTAGCTCCGGATTAGATAACCCAACGGGTACGGCCACGTGATTCCTATCGACGAATTCTCGATCAGATGCGACTTTCGGGTTGCGGATCATAGCGTGAGCTCAGTATCGTCATGAGCAGATCATCACGAACGTCATTTAATGAATGCGAGCCGGAACCAGCTCGGTCCTTTTCTCCTCCGGAAACGTCGGAGCGGCGCGATGGACGCGAGGTGAAAACTAATTTGCCGGCGTGCTGAGAATGGACGTCCGCATTAGGGTTCTCTGCAACACTTCACAGCTCATCAGGCGAGACGCAGTGGCAGGCTCATGTCATCGCCAGCGATCACGATAATATTAATATAAACTATATCCTGTTTGAATGAAACCACGGACGCGCTTCGGTCTAGAACTTGCTCCTTTATTCTTTCTCAGCTCGGTAAGGAGCCCTGATCCCCATAAGTTAGGGCTTCGTTTCTGGAAATTACCTACATCCATTACGCTGTCTGGGTCGACACTTTTCCCGATGGAGACAATTTTATCGGGATCGGCAATTCCTTTCGATAAGGGTAACAAATTGGTTGGGACAGGACACGGGCGCATTCCCGAACAGCATCGTGGCAGGCAGGTGCATCGGACGCGGCATGTTTTATGACTGCACGGGTATCATGAAGGCCGGTGGCGCAAGACTTCTGAATCATGGGAATTTCAGCTACTCTGGATGTTCATTGATCGGAGCAAAGCCTCGGCGAAACAGCTCCCGGTGCTGAATGAGAGAGGTCGCTGAAGCCCGGCGGGTGGGTTCCCTGTCATAGACTTTTTGTGACTCCTAACGCGAGTCCGCAAGGATCTTGTACAGTTGGTACTTTTTTGGAAGGTATCGCTCGCGTGGGACACGCTTGGAGAATCATTATCAGACGAGGCTTGGATTTAGAGAATCGATTTCCATGCTCTGGTCTGCCTGCAATTCACGTAATTTGATCTAATCGATTAGCGATTCGAATCAGTTCGGGGACGAGAAATCTAAGACTGAGTGAACCTTAGGGAACTAAAGGAAGTAAATCATGATCAGAAGCTGTGGAATGAACAGCTGATGTAGGAGTGTTGTACTGGAGAGTGTTCAATTGAACCAGGGTGATTTTATTAAGTACTGACTTCGGTGGTTGATGCCGGCTGCTCTATGCAGTTGGAAAGCTTGTCGTTCGATTTCAAAACTTCCATCGGTCTATCGTCGTCTCGTTCGTGAACAACGATCGAGCACACCAGATTCCTCTGAAAATTCGATAAGATATTTAGATCTCTGCATGGCTCTCCATTCGAGAGGGGGGGTGTTCATCCTCCTCGCGCAGTGCGGCTCCGCGCAATCAACGATCCACCATATCTGTGTTTACCGGCCCTTAAGCCGATCAGATCTCTCTGTTGGCTGAACTGGGCTGAGACTGCTCGGCATCGAAGTCTGACGGTCGAATCTCAGTGCGCGTTCGCCGATCCCGAGTGGCGTGGACAGCCCAGGTGTCCAAACATTGTTGGAGGCGCTTGATATGAGCAGGATTGAATTCAGACACAAGAGTATGAGGGAACCGCGCACTGAACTCACTTTAACTTGGAATGTTACGTTGAATATGTGGCCATCTTTTATCTGGAATGGATATTGATCCGCTCAGAGAAATACGAACTGTTCAGCGGACGAGCCTCCCTGTTTCCGGTCGCCAAGCACTTCTATGAGCGCGGAAGGGTCGAATACATTGGAACTACACAAATCCGGAGAACGTTCCGTGGAGGAAGCCGACTCCATCGCCGTTTTCATGGAATTCCCGAATAAGCCTTCGGAATGAATTCCTGCCTGTGCGGGACCCTCGCGGAAATGTATCGCAAGTGCTTCGGATTCGAAATTGTGGACCTCATAATTCTTGTGCGTTTTTGGAGGCTTTCCGATGAGGTGTCGGCTTCTGCTCTGTCTCTGAGCGCTCAGAGGAGGAATAAATAAAATCATACTTGGAATCATCGTTGTGTTGAAAAAAGTTTCCAGCAGTACCTGAAGAGCGATGTTCGACAGATGGACCTCATCTGCTGCCGTCAAGGTGAGATCTCTCCGCAATTCCATTTCGGCGTATTCAGTCTGATTTTTAAACTCCGCGAATTTCCCGCCTTCGTTGGAATGAATTTCACCTGTGCCACTCACGACTTCGGCAACTATCGACACCGACAACAAAACGTAACGAATCACGAAGCCACCCATGTCCGATTCCAGAAGCTCAATTTCGAGAATGCTGTTCCGTTTCGCGGAACGTTTCCCACGGAGAGTGGGTCTGTGTGTCGCGCTTCTGTGAGAGTCCGTGTCTGGGTGTGTCACGAGCGAACCGCACGCGAATCCGGAATATATTCCATCGTCCCGATCGGATCAGTCAGGGTCGCTCGCGATGAAAGAAGCGTCATTTTTCCATATAGGGAAAGGGTTGATTTGCCCTTTCGCGATGCCGAAATCTCCAGGGTGAGGCCGAATTTCGGAGCATTACTCAATGATGACCCGAAGTCCTGGAAACTTATTAGCGATTGCGGCCAGGGCTCCGGACCATCGGCGTAGCCCCCGCGAATTTGGGTCTACATACAATGGTCCCCAGAGCGGAGACTTTCGGCAAGTGTCGAAACTTCGAATGCCATTGCATGTCAATGAAACTCAAGCGCTCTCGCCTCTCTATTGAGCGTCTCGGGGAAGTCGCCTTCATCGCGAAGTCACGGGCTCGGGGAATATCCTAGAAGAATATTCACGAATGGCATTCCGGTGGAGGGGTAGAGCGAGGGTCGACTACAATGGAGAGCAGAGTCAGAATCGTAACAAAAGACCTGAGAACCTCCATGCGGAGAGCAAAGTACACAGCGCCGCGTGTTATTTTGTTGTGGGTCGGTGTATTCGACACGCGAATTCTGCAACCGAGAAGAGACGCGGAACGGAGGCTCGTCGCCGAGATCCCTCGCCCTCCTTCGAAAAGAATAGCGATGTCAGCTCGGGCTCCGAGCGAGTCGAATGCCGCGCCGAACGCATACCTATACGCTCCTGTATGTGGATACGTTTCGGACACGAGTTCGGATACAGAAATACATCTCCGAGTGCGGATGAATCCACTGCATTGAGATCTTCTCACACATCTCACACGCCCCTAATGGAGCTCAAATCTCGGGAAAACGTCTATGCTGAACGAAGACCGGAAATTTCGAAATTTTCAACTTGAGCAGAGATGCACGATCCGTTATTCACGTCGGTGGACAGCTCTCCCCAATCTCCGCTCAGAGTTTCTAGGAAGTCATCGGTATGAATGTATCTATACGTCCAACCAACCAATCCGTCACCTCTCGATTTTGTTCTCGGACAGCGTCCATATCGGAAGCAAAATCAGAGCAGAACTCTTGCATCATATTCTCTACGACGGAATGAAGTAATGGAGCCCCTGCATAGATTACAAAATTATGTCGATCGCTGCTCGAAACGTCATCTAGCCATCCATCAAACGTTCAAGGGAATCTCGGAGCTGGAGCGTTGTAGCAATCGAGCGATTGTTGATGCTTGCATAGAGAGGAATCTATTCTGTTTGAGTTCGGCGATCCTTTTTTCTAAGCTCAGTTTTGACAGTTTCGCGGACTAAAGAGCCCCTCGCTCCACCGAAATCAAACACGAGCTCACGGCTTGGCGAGACCACCCGAGCTGGGTTTTCACAGGGGTGTCCTAAGCACTCACTTCGCTTGGCCTTAGCCAGCGCATGTATTGTACGTTGAAGTGACGAAGCGTTCGGCGCGACGAAGTTGAGGTTTTCTGATCGAGAATGTTCCCCGCGGGAGCCCGAATTCTGAGGACCTAGCTGTCATTTATCGTCCCCGGCGGAGTCCGAATAAGACAATATTCATAACCGTATACGGACCCAGAATTCAATCCGCGGCTCCTCTCCGCAACCTGCTTTGCAATCGGAGGAATAGTGGTCGGTGGCGTGGTCTGAATGAGACGCTGTGGGGCGCAAGCCTTCCTCGAAGAACGCTCGAGTGAACAGCTTCCAATGACGCGAAAAGAGCATCGGACAACGGCTAAACTGGAGCGAGAAAAACGATCTCTAATCTTCAGCGACGCGTCTGAATTCTGAGGGCAAACAATAGGGAAGCACAAAAGACGAGAAAAAGGATCCTCGAGCGGGCAAAAAGAGAGTCGGACCGAATATTTCGACGCTCTCAGAGATGCGCTCGAGCTCGCTTGGTAAAATCTTTGAATCGAGTTCAGCAGAAGCGACACAAAACAAGCGGGGAGTATGCTGTTCTGACAGGCATACAATACGGGTGATATGACATATTCCAGGGTCTTGGAATGAGGGTCCAATACAGTTCCTCGAAGACTGAGAGATCCTCGAAGATCGTACGATTGAATCCGGTCGCTGAGCAGCTCAGAAATTCAGAGACGATTCGGACGAGAGTCGTCGGCATGTCCTAGAATTTCCCCCATTCGCCGTACGATGGGGCAAGGGTTTGAAACTGAATTTCGCTTGAGGCCTACATCGAGGATAGGCTCTTTACCCCGATATAGCGCTAAAGCCGACCGAGCAGATCATCTCATCATATACGATTGAGGAACTCGATTCCGTAAAGGGCCATCTTCCGCTAGAGCGCCGTCGCTTCTTCGAGTGAGTTTCCCGAAGTGAAGTTCATGAATGGAAACGCTTGCTTGAAGGTCCACACGTGTGGACCTGGAGAGCTTCTCGTCTTTCGTTTTCGTGAAACTTGACAAAGGAGAGGATAAGCGGAATCAGGTGCAGAAACCATGCACACAAATAGCCCTCAATCGACCTGGAGCGGATACCCGCTCCAAATCATCATTCTGAGGGGTTGGCCTAAGAGAGTTTCCAACTGGCTCCCCGATATGGGGAGGGAATTATGACATTGCCCGTCGATCGCGATCACCGATCATTGCGCTTGCCGAGCTGGGTCGGCCTCGCGAAGAAAACTCCGAGAACGAAACGGGAACGACACACTCGGATATCAGTCCCGAATGGTGAGCCTTGGCAGCTGAACAAATTTCGAAAACCTAGGGAGAATCGCCTCTTTCTTTTCAGTCTTTCCCTTCGTGCGTAGCTTGTTTGCGGACCGAGCGATTCTCGAAGACTTCCCGCACGACTCGTAAAGTGGGGCCATGACGCTGTCTACCTCGAGCTGTAAGGACTACATTAGTCGATCACAGCCCACGACTTGGTCGAGATTCATTGATGTGCGTTCCGTCAGTGAGCCGATGTAGCCAGCCACGAGCATCGGAACTGCGAGTCACTTCGATCCTGAGTCTTATTGCTCGAATTCTTCCGCAGGGTTGGACTTATAAGGCGCGGGGCCCCTCTCTTTTTCGGTTTTCTCCTTCGTCTTCTTCTGTCAGCGCGTTAACAAGCACCTTTAGATAGTTCTTGTGTTCGACGGCATCAGAAAGAATTTGGAGCCATGACCGCAGCAAAGCAAATCGATTCGTTCTCCGGATCAGTGGGGAATATCATCAATTGGGCTCGCCTACCGTAGTCGAAAGTCAATCGCTCTCTAAAGGAATTAACTCGAATTCCTACCAATCCACTAGGATCTAATAGATGAATGTTCAGCCATCCCGGCTAGGCGGGATGGAGCGCAGAAGGATAAACTCGGGAGAAAAAAATCAGAGGACAGCAGACTCGTCAGGAAGTACAATGTCACGGTAATCTTGCCGGCGCTTGGTTTGAGAATTCACTCTTCTCTTTATTATTTTCGGACGTTGGCCATCCCATGGAGCTTTTTCGGGGACTCCATGTCGAGATCAAAGATCCCATCACCGAGATGATCGAGCAGAGTAGATATTGCTGCCACCACCTTCGCCGATCTCTCTCTCTCTCTATCATTTTGTCTATAATCTATAACTATCCCTATCTTCAGTTCTTTGCTCCGCCGTCAGCGTAGCATCCCCATACATCGTTGTCTCTTGGAGCAAATTTCTAGCAAGTCATAGAAATATACAAAGGAAGAAAAGTTTATCCACAGACTATCCCGAAGATTTCAACAGATATTAGTCTTCCAGCTCTGCACCCATCTCACCGCCACCACTACCAACAACAACAATCGAGAAAATGACCTTGGATCAATCCTTTAACTGTCCACTCTCCAAGGCTATCCTGCTCCACCCTCCGCTTTCCCCGTGATCCGGAAGACTTGACGCTGTGCTGCTGCCTCGCCGGACCGGTTGCGTCTCGACGGACTCTATCCGCTCTCCGCGCCGGTGTCCTAGCTTCGAGGCGGACTCTGGCGTCGGAGACGGACGAGCTTCATTCTCCTAGGAGGAGACTCTCAGGAGGTAACTTCGGACTAACGCTTCTCAGTTGCAACATTGATTTCTGAGGACGGCCCGAGGGATTTGGGACTTTGTTTTTGAACACCACTCTCCGAACAAGGCCGGCTCATCAATTTTTTGTTCTTGGATTTCCACCAGTCGCCGCATCAAATCGTAATTGATTTCGTCGCTGATCTGGAAACAAAGGACATGGAGTTCGATCATCACGGTAAACCAAACGGAGAACATGGATGAATCGTTGTCGACAAGAATTCCTCCGAAATCGGATATCAGGCTATCATGTTCATGGAGAGAAGAACCGTTCAGAGACGAATCTTTGAACAAACTGAAGCAACGTCGGCTGACGCCCGCAGATATATTCGGCTCACCTTCGAGTCCTTCTTGTAGCCGGGATGATTGTTCACGAAGTTTCGGATCCAGGTGGCGGTCGTGAGGAATTCACCTTTTGCCCTCTTCGAAATCAGGTTCAAGTAATGACTGATCGTGCACTGAGTATCGACGTCCACCTCCATTGACTTGAGATACTTTTTTATCAGCGGTATCAATCCTGGGAAGCGCTCGGACCCATTGAAAACTTCATTGCATTCCATCTTGACGATTTTTGGTTCTTGATAACCGTTTTCCTTGGGCGTGTCTTCCCTGTGAATTCCGTTGAGTCCGAAACCTTCCAAAACAACGTCTTGTCGAAACCAGAATCGCTCCTGCCTTACCGCGTCGCGTTTCTGAGCCGTTTCCATATTTTCGTCTGTGGATTAAGGAGTGGAAAAGAAAGTGAGAAAATTTCAGAAACGATAGAGAAGTCGCAAGTCTGCTTCGACTCCATAGCGTCACTCACCGAGTTTGGAGATCGGGATGAGGAAATCCAGGCCGTAGGATAAAATCACGCGACTCAGTAGAACAATGAAAACTGTGAAAGCCGCGTTTTCGAATTCGGTAGTCTGAATTTCCATGGGTCGGAATTCGACCCGCCAGCCGATTGAGCTATTCGGTGGCGGGGGTTTGAACCGCATGTTGTGCCAGTTGGTGCTCTGAAGGTTCTCGAAATGGTCGCTGTCTTCTTCGTCGTTCAGATCGATTTTTTCGCTGAATATCACCAGCGGGTCTCGGATGAGAAGATGAGATACATGCTGGGGGGGGGGGGAAGAAAGGGAAATTTCAAAACTCAATCAAAAGTCTTCGGAAATATGGGGTTGTTGGAAACCGATGCCCTGTATCCTTGAGCATTCTCAATTATATGAACAATCCCAAGTTAGTCAGAGCGATCTCCCCGAAAGCTCCTCTCCTAAGTATGTATCCACATCAGCACGAGAGAGACACATGGGTCCATTACCTGGGCCATCAGGTGATCGACGCCGTGGCTCCGCAGCTTATCGTAGTATTTTTTGTCGTATACGACCTCGATATCGTTGAAACTTCCTCCTTTCTCCGAGATGTAGCAATCGATTGTTCCGTACCGTGACTTTTTTATTCGTCCTTTCTCTTCGTCGCGACGACAGTCCACGGAATCGCCTGGACCGAAATGGAATTCGTAAACGGCTGATGAATGGCTTGCGATCAAGTCTTGAGTCCTAGCCGATGGCGCATAAATTTTTTCCGTCTGCACGATGTCTCGCGAACATCCCCCTTTTCCGGTCCGAGGCCCGTCGAATGGAGCTCGTCCACACTCTCGTACTCATCTTGAGCAGCACTTCTAGAATAGTTGCTTTCAGGAGAAATGGAACTGTCCACGTGAGAGCCGTAAAAAATATTTAGACCACCGCAGAGTAATCAGGAACGTCCTCTTTGAACGAGCAGGAGCTCTCGATAAGTACCCAGCTAACTTTAGTTTGCAATTACGTGGATCGTAAAAGAGGCTCTATTCTAAATCTAGGATATTGGAAAAGATTGACTCGAGTGTCGATTTGTGACCCTCGCAGGACTAGGACGCAATTGGAAGATGTTTTCGCAGCCAATAATGATAAGCTGTGAGCAGAGCCAATCCTCTGGGGGATGGAGTCTCATCCTCCTCGGAGCCGGAGCAGCGATCAACTTTCGATGAATTATTTTTTTCCGAGACGGGGTCTGATAATCTCTTCGGAACTCACCGATGACATTCCAGCGACAATCCCTCTCGGTCAGGTACCCCCGGAAAATGGGCGACGCGGCGCTCAGAGCCATCACAACAGGACAAATTGGTGCCAACTGATCGTAAAGTCTCCGTGCTTCCATGATGTTGCAAGCTTGGAACGTGACTTGCAAGCAGCAGTTTCCCATTCCTGTAACGGTAATGGCGCTCCATCTTAGACTAAGATATCTTGCGATCGGGAATCGGCAAAGCTCCGAAGCCCCGACGATCTGCACCGAATCTGATCCCACTTACCAAAACCCATGCAGTCCATGTACACGTGATCAGGCTTGATTGCCTGTGCGGCATCCGGATCACCTTGGTCGTCCTCGATGAAAGGTGTCGGCGTGTTGACGTCTTTCAGAATAGGAACGTGAATCGCGACTTTCTTACCACGACGCTCGAGTACACTGCGGGCCAGCTGGTTGAATCGTGGATGACCGGGGAAAACAACTTCGTCCGGGAAGTAGAGCGACTTCAGGAACGAAGTTCGCCAATTAGCCTCGTGGGGAGGATCGGAGAAGAGTTCACAACCAAGCCGAGGGTAAGTTGTCAGACACACGAGATGCTCGTTCTCCTCGAGCAACTTTTGAGCGTATCGCCGTCGGGCTCGCATGTTCTCCTCGACGATGTTCAAATATGAGATCAAGCTCCCATAGGGTTGTCCCGGAGTCCCTTCGATCATGTACGCAGCGAATTCAGGACGCCACAAACTTCTGGCTTTGGCGGGATTCTTGTGCTCTTCTTCCTGGAGAATCGGCAGAAGTATGTCCGCCCGCAAACTCAATCTGCAAAAAGGAGTCATAGTTTATTTAAATTCGAACGAGTCTAAAGAAGAGTCACCCGAGTCCTACGATCCGAACTCCCGCGCTCATTTAGTGGAATAAGGAACTCTGACGCTAGGCACCGCCGGTGTTCCATCGCGAAACACGGAACGTGTGAGCCTTAATATTCGGATATCTTGGCGGACGATCGACTGCGGTGCACTTCGCTGAGTCATCGTCATCGATACTCGAAATCTCGTGAAAATCCTCTACGATTCGAGCTCTTCCGGGAATGACATCAGAGACAATCCATTCCCCTCAAATCATTCGGAGGGAGCATGACTCTCATCGATAAAGAATGGACGAAATCGTCACCTCTATCGCGTAGATGACAGGGGCGGCTGCTCTGACAAACATCGGCAGCTTATCTGTGGCGAGAGCGACCCGAACTCCAGAGCGGAGATACTCCTTTCCAGTCTAGTCCAAATCACCCATCTGTTCCAAGGCCCGACTTTGGGTGCCAGTCGGTGGGAAGCAGCAAATACGCCCTCGGTGTCGGATCGGAGATGCGATGAGTGACAAACGAAGAAGAATTCGGAGCTCGGTCTTGCAAAAAATACACGAGCCATATGACTCGACTTCGGTAATGTTGAGTTGCCTGGCAGGCAATCGGATGATCTTATCACAGAAATTTTCGGTTGGTGAATCCAGACCCAGCAGAACGGGTTCTGCATGCTCCAACGGGACTCCGTTTCCGAGTTTTCAAAACGATCCACGCAAGCCGCAACAAGCGCTTTTAACTCCATTCTACTTTAGCAATCGACTTCCGCCGGCCGCGATGGGTTGTCGTCATTGAATATCATCGATCGTCCTCAACTTCGACCATTGAGCTTGTTTGAAGCCGCGCACCGATAGCTCCACTTTCGGATTTCATAACGACAAGCGAGATAGCGGAGTTAGAGCTTTCCCTGCTGTACCTCCGCTTCCTTATCCGTTCATTCGCTCGATTGTCTGTGTACCGTTGTGATCCGCCCGTGGAGCGTACGATCTACCTTCCTTTTCCAAGACGACCACCTCAAAGCGAGAGCTCAGCGATAAATCAAATGCCGAGAGAGGAGAACAACATCACTTGGAAGCTTCCGAATGAGATATTGCGAAGGTGTTGGATATCACTCTCTTAGGACGGAAATGAAAGAAAACAATCGCCTTCTCCACGGGGACTGCCCGGGCGTTGCAACGGTCGCGAGAAGAATCGTGGAATCGTAGTCTCAATTCGCGGTAAGAAACCTGCGGAGTCCTTCCCGCGCGCGATGGTCGCTGCACGGTCGTGGGAAGGAGTTGCACCTGCGTGAGCAAGAATCGACGCCATGTGAAGAATCGTAGCTATCAGATGTCTCCGTTTCTCCCCTAACCCTTGGAGACTCTCCGAGCTCGAACAAGTCCCGGATTACTGTCGTTCCCGCTCCTGGAGAGGAAAAACTTTCGTCACGATGATCCGCGAACAGCGCGTGCGGATAAGCGACGGAGTCGACTCATTCAGTCGCCACGTGCTCTGCCCAGGGAAAACCTGATGCGGTTGATAGCGTTCGCTGTCGAGGGACAATGCTTCTCGATACTTTTTGAGACTAGAACGATTCTAATCGCATGCAAATGAGTGGATCATTGAGAGGGATCCACGTGGTGAATTGGAGCGAGGAATCGTTCTCAAGGTCGTTGTCGACAAGGCCGTGCTCTCCGTCTCATCGATTTCCGAATGTCTCTAGAATTGCTCGCTCACAGCCCTTCTTCCTATTTCTGCTCGCATGAACGCCGGATATGCAGCCGAGTTGCCCAGAATTCATACGGAGCTCCAATATGTGGAAAAAGGGCGATGGAAGCCTCGAAGAACGAGTCCGATTTCAAGAATTTCGGTTTAAGATCATTCCTCATGGAATTCGATTCCGCAGCTTCTTCGACCTAGTCAAGCCCTCTGATTACAAAACTCAAAACCGGAAAACTGTGTTCGGAGAGAAATAAATTTCTCATACGATTGAGGTACACATGAGCTTCGTAGGTTCTTGCTCGAGCTTGACTATACACGATCAATGGTTTCGAATGTGGACGGGACGTTGACTGGGAAAGTCGTGAACTCGAGAATGACAGTGAATGATTCGATAGACGTGAGCATTCAGGTGGGAAATCAATCACTAAAATCACAAGCTGCTCGATGAGCAGAACATCATCGGGTCAAGCACTCTGGTGTATTTCCAGGGAATCCGCTATTTGAGAATGTACGGCACCGAAAACTGCTCCGATCGACGCCTTCAGCGGTTCTCAAACCCAAACGTCCCCGGAGCGGACCCTATTCTCATCAGGACTCCCCGATGTGGAAACTATCAAGTACGGATCCTCTGAGTTGAGGATTCTAGAGATCCGGTACGCGTAAAGACCTCTCGGTGCAAAATCCGCTTCAGTGGTGGCAATAGTTATCGACCATCGAAAATTGGGAATTCTGTGTTGGGATCAAGTCCTTTCTGCGCTTTGAAAAGGAGTCAAGGGGTGATACTCACTTTGCAGAGCGTCGTTCGTGGTCAAACTTGATGAGTATGTATTCGATTTCATCCCCGAACTTCAAGCAGTCATTCTGGCGATCCTTGACTTTGTTGTATATGTTTATGAATTGGATGACGGCATGGTGACGTACGTGTTCACAATACTTTTGGACCTCGGTCCACGTGAGTGGTGTTCCCTCCGAGAGAAGGCCCATCGCAAATTCCGCCGCTGTTCCAACGAAGTGACAGCGGTGCCTGAAAACGAATCCATGGTGATCAGCCGTCGGATTAGCTCCGGTGAAATACTCGGTATCTCCCATCTCTGTCGGATGTCGCCGAACACAGCCAGTTATCCGACTCACGGCCGGTCCCATAATTTTCCCGATTCTCCGGAAGGGTTTTTTGACGTCGAGTTTTCGCTCAGTTCCGCATCGAGACCGCAGCTTCTGATCGAGAGCCGCGATAGCGAAGGCCGTGCCCAAGCCTGTCTCAGAAACGGACGATCATTCCCGTTGAGAGAATCGCAGAGGCTTCGAGGGAGGACATCGCGCTTCGATGCGAGAGGTTTCGAATGGCACTGCGCTCTGTCAGACCGGTTTGTCAAGCGACCACATGCTCAAAACTGAGAGCCCTAATCAGTCAGAGCACCCTACCTGTGTCAATGGACGGAAAAACGTGCAGCCGCTATAGAGAGTCGCGCGCGCTCCGAAAGCACGAATTGGCGGACGGACGGAGTGAAGAATACACCAACCGGCTATAGAACGTTTGTGTTATGGACCACAGACGACGGGCAGACTCACAATCAAAACATTTTCTATGAGGCTGCCGACTTACTTACGACTCTCTACTTGCTCTCAGCGCGACCAACGAGAGAAAGGGTATGGCCTAGTGTTTTCCAACGTTCGCTCGAGGGCGCCACGATAGCCTAACTTGACAGGCCTGGAGTGGTGAGCTTGGCGGCAGAGCTTCGTCTCGCACTTCCTCGATCGTGCGTCGGACGGCAGGGAGGAAGTTTGCGTCAGCGGTCATCATGACTCGGTTGCTCGACCATAGCTTCCTGGAAGTTCACGCGGGCCAGTGTGTCAAGACCACATCCGGTCGGAAACTTCTGTAAAGGTCACAAAAGACAGAACGGCCTCGTTAGGATTCGTTCAGCTCCAAGCTGCCGTCCGGTGGGGCAATGGGGATTCAAAAGTCCGAGCAAACTTCGAGAGAGCTTCGAACGAAACGAAGAGAAAAGGGTTTAGCTCTATGGGCGTCACGTGAGTCGAGACGACACTGGACAGAGCCTGGCAAGCCCGGCTGATGCAGGGCATCGACAAGTCGAATAAGACCTCTCAAGTGGGCGTTCCGTTCTCTGATTCAGCCGACGTTTTGGCACAGATTCGGAGTAGCGTTAATTCCTTTTTCGAGAGTGATCGTTCAGGATTGTGTCCGCTACTTTCTCATTCTCCTCGATCGTCTGATCTGGACATGCGTCTCAAAACTCCCCAAGCGGACGGGCGATTTTCCGGAAGGATCCTCGATTCACCATGCTCGAGTGAGCATCGGGAACGGAGACAGCGAGACTGAGGAATCGAAAGCAAAGGAACAAAAATAAGAATCATCGTACCGAGACGGTAGAGGATGGTGACGGCTCAACGCTCCGCCCACCTCCGATAGCTATGATTTGAGGGATAAGATAGAAATTTCTATACACCAAGTAAGAATGCGGGTCTCGGGGTGATTAGGCCGCAGGTTATATCGCCTCCGCTTCTTCGTCCAACCGCTTATCCGTGATAGCTGACTCGCCATGATGTCATGGCCAGAGTATAGTATCTACTATCTACCATTTCTCCTCTAATCGGTACCAGCACTCCCTCACTCTCCGCGAAAAAGCGCCCTCTCAAGGGTTCTTGTGCGAGACTCAGCGGTCGCAGAAGCGCAATCTCATGCTCGAGGAAGGGTGCCAGCGAGAATCCGAGTTGAGACTGAAGTTTACCGTCCCCTTCCAATGGAGCTCCTATCGACTAAACTCAAATAAGCGCGACTGACGGATCGAGCGATCATTCCTTTAGTAACATTTGAAAAGCAAGAGCTGGTGGAGCTAATTTCGAGAGACTTGGCTCTAAAATCGCCGGGCCCCGCGGCTGGTGACCTTGGAAGACTCTCGACAGCCACCAAACGCATCGGTCGGAGATTAGCGGAAATCCGAAACCACGTCTCGATGCGGACTCTGACCCAACTAGAAACGATACCCGCGGATTTTCACGGCGTGCTCACTCCTCTGTTTCATCAGTTTTCAAAAACGCACTCTAATGTTGAGCTACGCTACCGATCGTCTTCTCTGTTCGAGGATGAGCATGGCGACTTTCGAGCTCGCAGAGTTCTCGCTCATAAACAAGCGGAACGCGTTCGTCGCTTTTCGTTCGTTGAGCTGGAACGGGTGACTGACCAGAGATTAGGAGATCGGGTTTCCAACATGCATGTTTCCGGTTTCTCCGTCGATCCGATATTATTTAGAGGCTCACGGACGTGTTTCCAGCGTCGGTATACGTTCAGTCCCCTATCTAGAGTCAGATGGAACGCCGGAGTTACGGCCACAGATCGCCTCCATTAAGTTCTCGAAGCATAAACACCGACAGTGATCGCGTCCAATTACGCCAGTCTCCCCAGCTTTGCACCTGACTAGAAAAGCTGCTTACTCACCGGATCGAATGCACAAGGATTCCTGGTTCCCGGATGCATGAATCAGCCCGCTGGCACAAAAACAGGAACGGATCAATCCACTGCATACGACACGCTCGCGTGGAGTGCGAACAGCTGACATGCCAAGCCGAAAGAAGCATCCGGCTCAGCAGGACGAAACGCGGCCTGCCCGCGAAGATGGTCTTGACTTTTCTTATGTCCTCATTCATGAAAACTGCCTAGCTCGAATTTACGTGACTTCTAGAAGGTGCCCAACATCGAAGCTAACTCTCGCATTGCATCGAAACATTCTGATTGTTTGGGTTTCCGTGATAAGTGCTGCAGAAATCACCATCAGCATTGTCTCACCTATATGTATGTGTGTATGTATGTATATCTTGACGATGCTCCTCCCCTATCCGAGGATATCACTCTGCTCCGCTTCGGTAGGTTCAGCTTCTGGAATTCCATCGGCTCGTCTCGAATGTTCACGAATGACTTCCCGCTCGTTTATTCTCCTCTCGCGCTCGTGATGAACAGATTATATCTGAGAGCGAGATCGACGGATTCCTTCAATAGACGGAGAGGGTTTCCAAGACAGACGGTGCTCCAAAATCCTCGGACTTCAGGATGCCTGCGTTGTGTATCCGGTGGAGCTCCGACATCTTCATCTCCGTCCAACTCCGGTGAAAAAGCGAAGGAGTTTCTCACTCCGGATAAGGAGTGTTCGGCTTGCTGAATATGTTACATCCTTTCATGTCGGAAGCTCCATCTCTCATTCTCCCCTTGCCCTGGTTCCCGGGAATTCCTGGGCTCACGCTGTAGGTCACAGAATCCCATGGCCTGAGCTGAGCCCCCCGCCGGTCGATCCTGCCCGAGTCTCTGCCACGGAAACTGCCGTGGTCCATCGAGGTGGTCCTTTCAAACCTAGCTTTCGGCTCGGATATATGAGGCCACCTCGCTATTTTCCTCGGGTTTCCGGGCTTGGAACCGCGCCTCTCGATTCGAAATCACCAACAACGAATGACACCAATCGGGATTCTCGGTAATTTCCTCGGAACTTCGCATCGATTCGTAGCATTGTGCTTCCGCAGAGTTCCTCTCTCTCGGAATAGAGGAGGAAAGCATCTCGGCAGAGAAACCAAAAGCGAACGGAGACCGGAGTTGGGTTTGCTTGGCCAGCTACAGACGTATATATCTCGCCCTTGAATGCCCGGGGTAAGTTTTCTCCAATAAAATCATCTGATCGGAAATCGAAGATCGGCATGGGGTCCCGAGCTCCGGAAGATCCGCACCCAAGCCCGGGAGAGACTTGAGGAATCCCTCCTCGCGATGTTCAACTTGATTGGAAATATTCAAGATAGGGAAATAGAGAGACTTCCATCTGTATTCGTCTTTTGTACAATGCTTCGCTTTATTCACTCACAAGAGTTCTCTGCATTTTTTTTTCTATTATAACGCATAATGATCGATGCTGCGCACGAATGAACAATGTTGCAAAGTTTAATAAATAAAGTACCTACGCATCTTTTTTACAGATATATACACTAGGCCTCTTCTGAAACTCCTTAATATGAACACATATGGCATCCTCATGAGGGAAATGGTCTGTCATAAATGTACCGAATGATAGAACTACACGGTCATCTCGCTCAGTGCGGTGAACATGAGTCGAGGGAGATGTTGTATGGCAACATGAACACATGGACATCCACTCGTGGTCCTCCGTATTCACCTCAGCGTTATAAGATCGTCGCCGGCGGCGAGTGATGATGCTGGAGCGTCTGCATGTGATGCTGGGGATGGTGTGAATGGTGCAGCGATTGCAGAGTGTGATGATGCTGCTGCTGTTGTTGTTGTTGCATCTGATGCACCATTCGCTGAGGAACGAAGTACTGGTTCTGCACCATGATGGGCTGATGCTGGAACGGGGTCGAGACGAGTAGAGGAGGTGCGGCGCCCGGCTTCTGAATCGCGGGGTCGGGCAATCGGGAGCCTTTCGAGCACCAGGTCCACAAGCCTGCGCTGATACCGACTATTACACTCATGAAAAACTTGAAACTGAAACATTCGACGTAGGGACCCGCCGACCGGACACTCTGGTTCAGCGTCCACGAGTCTCGGTTGAGGTACTCGTAGATGTTGACGCCGAGAACACCGCAAGCCGGGATGAAGTAGAGTATTGCGAAGATCCAGGTCCGCGAGCCAGAGTCCTCGGGCATTTCCTTGTAGGGTTTCCTATTGCGATGGCGATAGTTCTTCAGGGCACCGGAGACCAAGAACGCGGCGCCCAGACAGAGGCACGCGATATGCGGCAGGATGACGAACGCGAGAAGAGTGTCCCGGTTCTGGTTTCCAACGTAGCAGACTCCGGTCAGTTCTTCGGCGTCGACCGCTCGCATAATCAAAATGGCTGCGGTCATCAACGCCGGAAGGAGCCAGGCGGCCACGTGCAGCGCGAGCATTCTCCGCCGCACTTGCTCGGCCGTGTATTGCGACGGTCGGCTCATGAACCAGGTGATCGTGACGACCACCCACCACATGGCCGCCGCATTTGTGAAATAGTAGATGAACACAAACACTGCCGTACAGTAGCTGTTCGAGAGATCTTGGTGAACGAGCACCGAAGCCTGGCCCTCGGAATGGCACGAAGCCGTCTCGCGACCCAGAAGCAAACGAATGAAGTAACCGATGGACTGTAGGCAGTAGCAGGCACAGAGATAGACGATGGCTCGGTCGGGGTTGTCGTACCGACTAGCGTCCATCACGTACAGGAGAACGGTGAAGGCCGACGTCATGAAGGCCGCTACGCTCCATACTGCGATCCAGATCTCTGCGAAACGCTTGTTCTCACTCGAGAACAGGACGTCTCGATCGCACACCTGACCACAGCGCTGCGAGGAGTTTATGAACACGTAATGACGGTCCCCGTACCGATACTGGAGGCACTGGTTGGTGCTCTGCTTCGCGTGGATGGGTTTCCGGGAACTAGGACGCTTCGGTCCTTTCCGTGGCGGTGCGGGAGTGGCCGCGGCTTCGGCGCTCTCGACCGAAGGGCCTTTCATGCACATCTCGGTATCGCTGTTTTCCTTTGGGAAGTTCGTACAGTTCATCTGTTCGGGCCAGCTGAATCCGAAAGAGTTCAGCGTCGGTTCGCAAGACGACCGCACCGATTCGCATAGAGGTCTGCAGGGTCCGATAGGGAATGGGACCTTATCCGTACACATCGGCACGTAGACCGAGCATAGAAAGAATACCAGTTGACTGCTGCAGCTGTACTTGATGAGCGGCACGAACGTCAGGTAGTTCTGACGAGCGTCTTCTTGAGTTTCGTGATTGAAGAAATTCGGCATGCCTGTAAGGGGAAAAAATCTCCGATTGAGTGGTCGGTTCTGCTCGTGAGGGTTGAACGATTCGATTCGTTGAACGCTTCCATGCGCTAGAAAATGTGGTCGATAGACGGCAGGCGACAAACGTACGATCCGAGCTCCGAAAATAGATCTACATGGGAGCTCCGAGCGGCGAAAACGAGTCTTAGGCTGGCGGCGGGCTGAGTGAGTGCGTGGAAGCTCAAGTGGAAGAGACAAGAAGCAACGAACTGTTCGGAAGTAAAAGGGAGCCGACATGATCTCCTGAATGAGAGTCTCTTGTTGAAACTGACGCTCGCGGCATAGATCAGAGATGTTGTAATATTTCACGATTGAGCATGAGCTCGCTGTAGCGGCTAACGCTCCGGCTTATAGGTAGAGCCGCCGTGGCATGTGTGGACCTTCTGCATCGCCACCACCACCAACATTATCGTCTGCAGCTACTGCGGAACTTTTTCGGACCCGGGATTCGGACAGCTTCCTGCCATCACCTTTGCTCGTCATCTTGGTCCCTCTTCTGAGAGTGCCACACATGATTCGCTCGATCCGCTGTCGAAGTACCCGAACCCGTCGTCGTCCGACTTTATTTCTTTCTTCCTCCCTTTGTTTCTTCCTACTTCTTCGAGACTCGGAGCCAGAAAACGATCTCTGGGGATGGCGGATCCATCGAACCCATCCGTCGGAGCTCCGAGGGAAGCTACTGCGATCGAGTCGACCATGTAGCCTCAGAGGTTCTGGCTCGAACACCGTGCTTCTCGGAGGAGTGACTTCCCGCTGCGATATCGACTCAGCTGCACCCCGCGCACGACAAACGGGCGCTCCGAAGCTAACGTGCCCGCATCATGGGGAATGACATGAATTTTTTTCGATGATTCTCGGCTGCTCGACTAATCGTCGTTAAACGGATTGACGGCTGAAGAAGTCGAGAACGTCCGTCTGTTCGTCGGACGGTCTGGTGTCAGTCGACCGCTCGGTATAGCGGCGATGTTCGCTGGTTCGAGGGGCACCCAAATACCTCTTCGAAAGACAACCTTCGAAGAGCTGCCGCCGGCGATCTGCACCCTCAGCACCAAAACGGAGAAAACACAGAACTCACTCACTCTCGCATTCACTCGCTCGCACACACACACAATATCGTGGCCAGACGACGACGACGACGGACTCTCATCGCGCCAAGATGGCGGAACGATCCTTCGCATAGAAGAGTATTCAACTAGAAGAGATCGATCCCCAATGTACACGGCGATTAAAATCGGTTTACTCAGACGAATCGCTCATTCTTAGGATCCGAAACGAATCTCAGAGATCCTCGCGTGCACTTCTGAAGCATCCCAGAGTCTTTCGGAAATCATGGGGCGGTGAAGAATGATCACGGTGAAAGCATAATGATATTGATCGAACAACTGGTCTTCTGTCATTCGCCAGAGAATGCGCAAGACATCCCGATCGTGCGGGTGGAATTCTTGAAGAAATCCGAGCGAACTCCCCGTGAACTGAGTTACCTAGTACTCTTCCAAGATTTGGTTTTATTGATTCAACTCACCGCTGTAATTGTAACCAATGCCTTTGCAGAATTCGAACTCGATCGGTTCGCATGTTCGAACGACTTCTGCAGAACTGTCGATGGTCGAAAAAGTCAGCGCCACTAGTAAACAGAACAGCCAACTGCACATCTTGTCGTTGGCTTATCGTTCCTCGAGAACCAGAAGTCAGCGAGCACAGCTGCAGAATCCGCTGCAGCTTCCACACGACGAAGACACGACTGCTGCTCACACTGTCAGCAACGAAAACAAAAAAACGTCGTCCCTTGTGAAGTGATCCACGTCGAGCTTTCGGCACGCCGGTTGATCAGTTATTCCTGTGGGGACCTTTCTTCCCCGGGAGCACTGACGTTTCGCTCTTCGATAATAATTGATGTTCACAGTTGTTTGGATCGCCGGGGTTTGGCTGTGCGCCCTCCGTCTGCATCCAACTCGGATGGCAGCGATCTACAAACTGTACTCGACTGTTTCGTCTTCGGTGTAGCCGCTCGTCAGCAGCTCTAGCGAAACTGTCGGCTGACGGGCGAGGAGCATGCCTCCTTTCCACCAGCATGGGGTACTCTCATGCTGCTGCCTGTTCGACTGCCTTACCGCCGACCCGCCTGCCTGCCGTCCGCTTCGTCGACTGACTGTCTGACGGACAGACAGACGGACTGACTGACTGACAGAGGCTGGCCACGAACGAACGAGCTGGCGAACCGAGCTCACAGTCAGCCATGAGGCCACGACGATGCGATGCCCCTCACAGGTGGATCGTGCTGATTATAAGACGGGCGAAACTCCAATCGGAGCTCCATCATACTCCTCATCATCATCGATCATCACTCTCACTCACTCACTCAGGACCTCTGTCTGACCTTCTCATCACGACCGAGCGAGAATTGACGAGTCGGAGAAGAAGCTTTCCTTTTCGATTCTGTTCCCCAAACAAACCGCACAAGGCAAGCGATTGGGTGCAGAAACCCATTAGTGCCCGACTGGCCGTATCTTGAAATACAGATGCCGAGCTACCTTCGATCTTGAGGAGTTCGTATTATCGACATTCATCGAAAAATGACTCCTTGCTCTTATTTCTCCGTATCAGGAATTGTCTTCCGAACGTAGTGGAGTACCGATCGGAATGTCTTGCTGAATTTCTCGATCAGGATATCTCGCTGAATTTCTCGATCGGAGAACGGTGCGCTCCATCGCGAGGACCGAATGATCTCTGTCCGACTCAACTATTTCCCGGATCTTACAGGAACTCTGGGTCGGGTCGACCGGAACGACCGACGACGTTTCGTTGGGATCTCGGACGAAGAGATCGGCTTCGGGAAAAAAGAACTACAAATGCCCTCAGAGGGCGGATCCATCCTCGAAAGGCCGAAAAATTTGGAGAAACTCAATGCTGCTGTTGCCGTTGTGTTGCGCTGGCTAATGTCGTCGATTCTCTGTGCCGCCTCTCCGAGTTCTCTCGAAACAGTCTTTGGCTCCGGGCCTGTGTGCTTTGTGATGTCTCTCGACGACCACGGTTGAGGCTTCAGAGAACGTTGGCTCACGTGCGCGAGGACGAGCTCGATTCGAAGCGTCCTCCTGCATGCTCGGCTTTCCGTCTCGCACATTCTGTGAACTCTCATTAAGACTTTCGCCGAAGTGACTAGTGTGAGGTGAGAGGACTAACGAGACACATCCGTTGAGTAGAACCAAGATTCTGAACGGAGTTCATTTCGATTCGAGACGGACAGCTGATCGCCTCTCGGTCCATCATCACTACGATCATCGTCGACCGCAACATATTCGGATCATCGCCATCCGCTCACACGGAAAGTCACAGTCATCGGTCCAGCGGTCGAGAGCGACTGTCAGAGTCGGCGATCACAGCCCGATCCGCGTCTCAGCAACACTCGTCGAACAATAACTCGATAATGATTCATTAATCAATCAATCAATCGAGGAATTATGATTCATTCACTCAATTCATCATCGCGAAATGATGAACCAATTCGGGTCGATCAGCCGATTCCTGAATGACCCGGAATAACATCGCCAAACATTTCCCGGGAAAAGAGACGACCAGCCGTTGAAGCCACGGGAACCTCTGATGAATCCGAGAAACCTGAGAGAGATCGCAGCTGCTAATCGTTCTTTAATCCATACTCGAATCGAGGTGGGCTGCGATGCAGCACGGGCGTGCTTGCTCCGACCGTCGAGAAGAACGCAACGAAATGTGGAGGACTTCGTGCGATCGTAGGTGAGATTCAGAAAACAGATATCCTCGATCACCGATATTTGAGCAGCTGCAGGTGTTTTGGACAGCTTGGTACAGCAAGCACCGATCCAGAGAAGCTTCTGATCGCTGGAGCTCACGGCGAAATTATTTATTCGCCAATCCGATCTCTGGAGAGAAGGCTGCACTCCGAGGGGACAAAGCCTCCTGATGAATAGAACATCTAGCACGAGATAAAACTTCCTTACGAAGATGTAATCGGTGCAAATAACAATCCGAAACCTTCGCGTCCCGCGCGAAGTGTTTGAATCACCGGGCGATGCGATAAGGAACAATCGATATCTACGAATTCTTCACCAACCGATCGGGTTTCTCGTGAGCGACAACTAGGATCACCGAGTCCAACTTTAGACTAGGAGAAGCCCTAGTCCCCTACTTTCCCGTTTCGGCCGATTGGAGTGGTACTCCATTCGCGGTTTCGACTCGACGGAGCCCAGCTCTCCGACGGTATCACGTCCGCACCTCCGAGACCCCTCGAGAACGAGTTCTCACCAAGACTGAGGCTTTCATCCTCGCGGCAGCATACCATATATGCTTGTGCATGCGATCCTCTCGGTTTGTTTCTAATTCGGGCGTGTTAGCGCCCCTTCACGGTACGGCATGAAATGAAGTGTAAGACAAGCACTGGATGCTTCCTCGAGGCGTATTCAAAAAAAAAACTCTGAGACGCCACGGTTCCTGTCCAGAGGCGAAACATCGAATACCCGTCTCGACTGCGTGTATGACGTCCATCTGTTGATGTCCATGGTATGGGATCCAATGGAGTGACGGTCCTACGGATTACCGTTAAACACGATCGAATTTGAGTTTTCTGGCCAGAGATATTTGCAGACTCTGGCTGGGGGATTAATTATTCGGCCATGTCGCCGGAAGCTTCTCGCGATCCGATTGCTTCGTATTGGAGCAAACATTCCACGGGTCATCCCAGTCTCCTCTGATTGTCTAGGATCCATCCTGAATTTCAGTGAAGTGTTGGCGCCACTCGTTATTATCACTCATCGGCTCACGGCACGTGTCAGCACGGATTGCGGGAGGGCGGCGGATCGTTTGGTCGTCTGAGCTCTTTCGAACATAGTTTCTCAGGGGGTCAGTCATTCGGATATTTGCCGTAGACAAAGCTTGTTTCGCCAACAGGGTTCAAAAACTATAATTACGCTCCGCGAGTCAGTCGATCGGTCCGTCCGCAAGCGTATAGGTCTGCGCGCCCAAGCTCGTCGAGGGTCTCTTGACGAGGCTTGAAGCTCGGCCCAAGATCCTACAGGCGCGCCTAGAACCAAACAGACACCCAGTCTCAGCCCCCGAAGTTCTGTTCAACGAAAGCGTTTTGAGCGAACCGGGTTCTGTGCGCTCCGCGCGAGGTGGGCGATCGACGGTTTGGGCGGCGGGCTCCTCAATTAAGCTTACGGCCCAGAACCCGGTGAAATGTCTTCGTTCCGGCCGATCCGTTGCGGTATGACAGACGGAACGAAGTCGAGTTTGCTGTTTCGGAAGCTCTCCCATGATTCCGAGGACAGTGAAAGCTTCTCGGATCGCGACGAACTTTCGGAGCGAGCCGGTGCCTCGCACTGAGATGCCGAACGGTTAACGTGGCAGCGAGAAGTCAGCGGGCGCCAGTCCCAACAACAAGACGGGAAATCATCTCACAGCAAGTCAGTCAGTCAGATCGAGGCTCAAGATGCTGCGTCCTCGATACGGACGTCTTTCATTTAATTGAATTCCGTCCGTTTAGCGTCGGGTTCACAGAAAACAAAAAGAAGAAGACTGATCGGAGCCAAAAATCTTCTCCTCAAGCTGATCACCCCACCCACATTCTCGACGACATGCGTAGCTTACCATGATGTTCTCTGAAATGTTTTTTTTCTTCTCTACCCAGTGCGAGACCGGGTTCGTCCCATCGGCGAAGCGAATTCCTGATCTTATCATCAGAACCCTGAATATTTCTGAATTGTAGTTTGTCGGAATTCCTCGGATGTCGGAATTCCTCGGATGTCGGTACTAGGAGGGTCCGATAGAATGATCCAGAAGAACACGGATGCCGAAGCGCCGTGTGAAGAGGAGGATGATTTTTCCAAAGTTTCGGCTCAGACTTTGTCCAAAAATCTCTACATCCGGAGCTGGACCCGTCTCGAAAGCGGAAACTCCCCGATGAACTCTCGGGGACTCGACAAACAGAGATCAAGACCCAGAACAGATTGCAGTCTTGGAACACTAATAGAAAATGGGAGAAAAACATCGAGCCGGCCGATAGTGTTCAGTAGACTTTACTCCGAGTAAGGGAAGTGCCGGTGTTCTTTGTTGTTGACTCTACTGGCGATGATATACGCAGCCGCTCACTCAGACGTTGATGGTACCGGACCTTCGAGTGCGCGAGAGGCCATTCGTTCAAAGGACGGAGAAGATGGAGATCGAATCGAGGTACCAAAACCGACGACGTCGCTGCTCACGGAAAACGCTTCAATTGATTATTGCGGCAGTGCGTTCACCGGACTAAGGACGTTTCTCGATTGAATCTGCCGACGATAGGGACAGAGCTTTCCAAAAGTGCGTTTTCGAGGACCTCTCGGGAGCAGACCCGTTCGACTGCTGTTTGTCGGCGTGTTACTTATTCTTATCGAGCGAGCAGGCCACTCGAAAGCAGACTGGATCACTTGGGACAAGAGCCGAGAGAAAGAAGGACAGGGCAGCTTTAAAGTGACCCAACTAACACGCACAGCCTACGGAGCACGGAGCTGTTGAACGGGTTCCTCTCATTCCTCGGCTTTTGCGGAGAATTTTCCATCTTTTTAGTATGTCATTTTTCTAAGGTTTATGTATTCTCTTGAGCGTCTCAACGCGGGCCTGCTCCGGCAACTATCCATGCACTGAGCTCCCGAACAAGAATCCCTGCCTTCCTTCTTTTCTCGCAGCCCGTAACAATTTTTGTTTCATTCAATTCGCTTTATTCGCTCGCTAGATTGTGAAACAGAGTCAACATGGGCAGTCGGTGTCACGAAGCAGACGATACGAGGAAAGGCTCCACATCGGGACGACTCTGTACTGAGCTCTCGAGTCGGATATTTTCATTTCCCAAACTTTTCGATGGATCGCGCTGTGACCGGATGTCGGGCCGGACACCGCTCAGTATGAATGAGATTATTGGGAAATTCATTGTGTCGCAGATCACATCCAGGAGACTCCTATGAGCACTGTTCGGGACTCCGACCGTACATGGAGTGTTGGGTTTCACTTAACGTCGGAAGATGAAGCGTGCTCCTTGAAATGGAGTGTCGCTCTCAGCGAGCGGGGCTTGGAAGTCGGTCGTCGGGGATCGCATCGGTCGAAAGGTCCGGCGAATGGGGGAACATGTCATCTGCTTGCTTCGACAAGCTGATTGACTGACCCGAGCTCAGCGATGCACTCAGAGATTTTCGGGTGAAAAGATAAGAATCTCTTCTCCCTCGACCCCTTCAGGTATTCCCACATAGCTTCTCTCACAATGTGTCATTTCGACAGCTATTTCTCGCCAGAGAAGGATCTCTCCCGGGGAAAAGATCAGGTTGCCGCAGGTCTTCCACGATTTCCACTGACAGCGGAGTGAGCGGTAGACGCTCTGAGAAAGCTCGCAGACAAGGGCCGCGCCTTCCAGCCGCTCTAAGAGCTCCGGCTTGGGATGGATGGAATGAGAATAGCGGAGCATGCTGCCGGACGAAGAGCAATGTTCGACCATGATTGGAGTACTCTGATGTGTCCCTTTGATGTACTCTCTTATCTCTGCATGTTCGACAATGAAATCTCGCCTCCCTTAATCGAGGCTCGCCGATCGCTCGCAAAATCCATTTCTTGAAGCTCATGGACCGCTGTCAAAAATATCGTTGCTGCGCTCGTGCCAGCGTAATTTATTGCGGGCTCTAAAGGACTTCCCCGGGCATGCTCCGCGAGTCTACAATTGAAATCTCGCCGTCCAGAGGGTGCACGATGAGCTGGCTGGCAACTTTTGTTGTCCTTACCACGGTCAACCAGTTTTCGCTGAGTGAGTTCGGTTTTTTTTATCTTTTTCTTTCGAAGACCCCCAGTAGAAGCTCCCCATCCATTATCGAGCGGCTCAGATTCGTTGGAATTCAGCCCTGCCCCCGTCTTCGGGGGGCACTGGCTCGGTCGTCAATCTAAACATTGACACTGCGAATTTGTCGTTCGGTGTAGGCATCGCGTGACATCGGATCGATCGGAGACGGAAGAGAATCCATGAAAAAAAAACAAGCGCCCTTCATGTGAAAGAGCGATAGTGTCGCCCTCGTGGGAAGTCTGCGCCTTTGACACGAAAGAAAAAGAAACTTCGAAACGGATATTAGAAGATTCGTCTCCCATCATTGCTTCATTCTATGGACATCTCTCTGGCTTCCGTGAGCCACGAACGATTTCTCAAAACTTCCTCAGTGTGTCAATCACCGTGATCAGACTCAATCGAAAGCCGAACAAACACTGAGCCGCGAGTGAGTTTTGGGGTCGGCTTCAGGCAGCTGATCTCGAGCAACGCGGCGACGGCCCCACGCCGGCCGTCGACGAACGGACGGCTGCGGGGGTGAGATTTCCTGTTAATAGGCTGCGTATGTGAAACGCGGAGACCACCCGGGGCTGGAGGTCTAAGCATGTTTTCCGCAGAATCCACTTGATATATTCATTGTAGATGCCAAAGATCTAGTCAGTCTGTCCGTCAAGCAGACGCTCAGGTAGCTAAGGAGTCGGATGAGCGGGGGCCGCGACATCTCCTAGCGATCGTGTCTTCAGAAGAATGTGCGCACTAGAAGGCTCTGCTGATCGAAAGCCGCATGGCAAATAGTCCCTCTTGTGGGTTAGAGATGCAGAACCTATTCTCGATTCCACGTGTCGTGCTAGCCCCAATTGCGGAGTTTATGCCGCTCGGGGGGTGCCGGAGCCCATCTTGGGATGTTTCGCTCTCTTCACGAGAGCGTAATTAACCTACCTCTCTGCCTTTCAGTTTCTTGCCAAGAGCGCCGGAATGCACCTTGGGGCTTCTTGAGCTACCCCGGAGAATCGAATGCAACCATCTTCGTCGTGAAAATCAGGAAGCACACGGAATGCGTGTTCCTCTACAAATGGAGCATCGAGTATTGTCTCCAGAATCCATAGCAATCCTTCCATTCCCCTCGCAGCAATCAGCCTATGAGCATTGCTCGTGAGGAGAGCTGCTCGGGAGGATTCTCGAGTCTCGCGAGGGATTGGAGCTGTGATCATTGCTCTATATTCTAACGAATTATTCTAATCGAAGGCAAAATCATTCCAGCGAATCGGTTGGGGTTGCCGTCGACGGCTCCACGTTCGCAGCAAACCTCAAGTTCAAGCGCATTTGCAATCAGAGTGAGACGAAAATTGAGTACAGCGGAGTCGAGGGAAAACTCGCGAGCATTTTCTACAGGATACTCGATGTCGGTAGGTGGTAGGGGGGATGATGGGTTGTTCTTTCTCGCCCCTCGCCTGGGAATGAAGACCGGAGTCACAGCAGTCGAACCTCGGAACGACATTGGCTCAATTTCTCTTTCCAGGTGAATTCTCGAGAGCCGTTCTGGATGATGTATGCGTAAGACAGCGCACGTGTCGTTACGAGCGAAGCGCGAAAACGGAAGCTTCGAAATTCGTATTATTGACTTCTCCCATCGCTAGACAAGAAGTGAGTTTGATTGCATCCTCTCCGCCTCCACCGCCAAGGGGTTCTCCTCCGTGATGAACTCGCCTCAGTCCGAGTTTCATTCCCATGCGATTCATTAGCCAAGTATCGTCGAATTCTGCCCGCCGCTGTGTTTTGCGAGAATTCGATTTTTTTTCTGGAGCCAGGCCGGGGAAATCCCATGTCAGAGCTCCTCTGGGGGCTCTCCATGTTTGTACATTCTTTCGAACGCGATGTTCGTAAATTATGATAATTGTCGACCCGTTGGTTTATCAAGAGTTGACACCACCGAATTCGTGCGAAGATAACACGAAGAATAAACACCTAGCGCAACCGGTTGGGTTCCGCCGGGGACGAAGTCCAGGCCTCGACGGAGCATGATTTCCAATTTCGTCTTTTGACACAGCAGACCTACAGAGCTACCGAGAGAGTTTCGGAATTGCGAGAGGAATCGTCGAGCGTACCTGAATCCTTGATTTCTTTGAAATTCGCGGAGCCGTGTGAATCGTGGCTTCCCCCGAAGGAGCGACGCGCTGCAGATGGAGATCTCGTAGAACGTGGTGAAAGTTTCGCTTTCAAGCTCTCCTCACAGAGAAAAAACAACATCAAGAAAAACGGCAGAGAAGAGCGGTATTCGATTCGTATGTATTCCTGCGTGGATCGCAGAATGTCGACCACAATTGGTAACAAGCAGCCGTTTTTCTCAATCGGATCGAATCGAATCTTTTTCGACAGCCGTATAGCAGCCGCAACGGCAGCAGCGTGAAAACACGGCTACAGAAAGCGTAAATTGCCGAAGACACACAGAAACGGAGAAGAGAGACAACGAGGAGAAGACGTCCACGAATGTTTTCGCCCCTCAAGCCATCGGCGCCGGCCGTCCGTTCTGAGCTGGAGACGTTCCATGGCAAGCCGACGACGGCGATGAATTCTCCTATCCTGTTTTCGGTTTTCTGATCTTTCCCGTTCAATTTCTGCAGAAACGAGCTCCGAGTGAACAACGAACTTTCATCGTCACACCATTCAATCTATTGGGGCGTTGAGGAAAAAGAAACCAATTGAGGGGGAACATTGGAGGATATTATTCCCAGACGTGGTCGGATGGAAGTTCGCGATGCGGCTCGTTCCACAGACGCGGATTTCTCCCGGGAATCATTTCGACGATACCCCGATTCTCAGATTGACTTCACCCTCGCGAGTCTGAGGTCGCGACCTCAAAGACAATCCTCCCCGCTCCTCTGGAGGATGGATCCCGAATCTTGACTTGAGTTCGAACTTCCGAAGTTTGCTCCTCGCTATGAAATATTCACCTCATGCCATGCCTCCGACTCGAGTGCCGCTCCTCACTTATTTTGTGCTCTGCGTAGACTCGTGTGGAACGAAGGTCGTCTTCGTCGTCAAGTTAGTTCGAAAGCACAGAACCGTGAGTTAGCGCGTAGCGTCCGACGTATCTTTTTTGGTTCCCCTTGTTAACGGTGATGACAGGGGGCCTCTTGACGGCATGGCGCGTCGCGTCGGCCCCTGAGAAAATACTTTCTGGGATTGAACGCGGCGAGCGGGCGTATGGCGCAAAACGAAAGACAAACACGAGCTTTTTCGTCTGTTCTTCGAAAGTTTCTTGTGAGGAAGCACGTCTGTCGGGTTCACTTTCTCGATTCGACTTCTCCTGCTCTGATTTCGCTCAGTGATACCGATGGAGAGCTTCCCGCATCTTTCGGGCTGTCGCAGGGAGGATCCCGGTCCCTCGAGCTTGCGAACGAGCGCCCCCGACCTGCGGCGACGCATCTCGAAGATTCCACTCGTCTTCGGAGATCGCTCATAGCCCACGATGCATAAAAATGTCCTCTGATCCTGACGTGCGGTAACCTTTTTCGGTCTTGTCCAATCCGAATTCTCAAAAAGGTGGCCATAAAACGGTACCATCATTCCCTCTATGACGTCGGAAGTGATCGTGGATTGAAGCCACAGTAAGAAATTGATACAATAAGCGAAAGCAGCGACAGGACTGAATCGAACAACGGCGGACCCCAAGCTGAGCTGAAGAACAGGATGTGTGCAGAAGTTTCTCGGCTACACGAGTGGGCCTCAGAGCAGTCCGTCTTTTTCATCGCGATACTTCGATGAGCGAAGACGCTTGCTGTAAGACGTGCCATGCCAACTCGGTGGTGTGCCTGGCCACCGTCGATAACGGTTCGATAAGAACGTGAAAACCAACTGATAAAGAAGTGATATTGATTGAGGTGGCAATTTGTCTCAGGACCGGCTGAGGATAAAAACTTCGAGAGGGCTCCATCCGCAATCCACGGGAGCCGATATGACCAATCCACGGGCAATGTCCGCCTGGAGTTTTTGCGTTTTTTCTTTTAAAGCGACCCACCGAATAAGATAGGTGCTGGGAGGGGAGAGGAGATTTAGGCGATTTGATTCTGAGATGAAATTATTTTGAGTGCGTCGCAACCTGCATTGGCGAACAGACAGTCGAGCAGGCAGAAATAATCGGACAAGAAGGAACGCAGCCGTTTTCTCTGGCCATAAGATTCCATCAAAACCCGAACGGGTGAGATGAATTCATCATTGTTAATCATCAGAAGAGCATCGGGATGAAACTTCTGACTGCTCCGCGAACACTCGTTTCCTCGACTGACCGGTTCGCAAGCACGGATCGGAACAACCATGTCAATGTGCCGAAAAACTCGCATTGGCGAGCGACTGAGATTTATTTACAACTCCATTTACGACTACCGGCGACAGAATTCCGACGAAGTTTGTGCGCGAGATGGCGAGAGAGATGCGGAACACAAGATCTCGACTAAGAGTGACTGCTGTGTGAGCATACCTTCTTGGATCTACGAGTCCATCGAGAAGTCGATGTGAGGCCGGCAGCTCGGGAACCCGGAATCCCGGAAACTTAGCATGAGTGGGGACCGGAATTTCACTGGAAGGGGATTCGTCGAAGTCAAGTTCCCATGCTTTCCTTTCAGATGACCGATGATCTAACATTCACCCATAGGCTCGATCTCAGGAACGACACGATGGCTCTCGTTGATCTGGATCCGATCAGGATCGACATGCAAGACAAAGATGTTTTGGAAATCCACCGATGCGACGATTCGGAGATTCTCTTCTCCGTCAATACAACTTCACTGACCCGTCGCACAATATTCAAGTAGGCGGCATCGATGGAGGTGGTCTAGCCGGGCTTCATCAATACTCAGCGTTCAGATTTGAACAAATTCCGGAGACCACCGTAGCCATATTTCCAGGCATTTCGGCTCCGATCTCTGCATTACGTACATTTCCCGGAGAGCTCCGGGGATCTCAACTTTCGCGATGCCATGTCAACTTGTACAGCTCTGTGAGCCTCTCTCGTTGAGCTTGTCTCATATTGTGAAGGATCTTGCAGACTGCTGACGTTCCTCGCGGGACGAATCTCGGAACTTACGGTTTTATTCAGGGAACGACTTTCCAGTTCTACAGGAGGCTAATTCTCGAGTTCTCTTCTTCAATGTCATGAGGAGATCGGAGCCCACAGTGGATCTTCTGATTCTCGAAGGAAACTCACAGATTCAAGAAGATACCTCGAAATATTATTGCGACCTACACCAGGCCAGTTGGCTCCCGAATTCAGTTGCGATCTCGATCTGCGTTCCGTTATGCCAAGAGTCTTGGAAATTTCGGCGAACGAACTGCTCGGTTCCGCCTTACAGGTGGACATTTCTGAGGGACGCAACGACCATCTCCTGATTTCCCGTTCCTCCGATCTTCGGAGCGATGTCAGCCTGCAGATCAGCCGGACGGGAGGCGAGGCTTACTTCTTGGTGAGCGTCGACTTCCTCGGGAATCCCAGGAAGACCATTTATAATATTATGAAGCCCGTGCAGATTCGAGCGGATATCGATGGAAGAGATGGGGGTATATCTTCGGATGTGGAACCGTTTAGTGCAGTGCCATCCGTGCCCCTTTTTATCTTATTCTTATCAACGAAACCGAGGGCGAGAGGAGAGAAACTTCGCGTCGATAAAAAAAATCGACAGCGGAGGAGCCTATTGAGAAAATGGGATCGGATTCCTAGCCTTCGGAATCCTTGCTCCTACTTACCGCTAGGCTTGGGGACCCGCACGAGACCACAGTGGAATGATGGTCCACCGGGGAAAAGGAGGCAGTAGGAAGAGACATGCTTGCGGAGCCGCCTCTCTTGCTCAGTCGCTAGGACCTCGAGGGTCGCCTGGCAACCAGCGCAGCCGTCCGTCAGAGCTTCGAAGGTTTATTTTTGAAGCTTCCGATGCTCACCCGCAGACAAGATGGAGAGGTAAAAGTTCGGTCGATTCATCATTGGACTAGGGAGCCTAATTCCCGGTAGCCGAGATCCTGATTTGACGACTGCCTCCCGATTCCGGTCGCAGCTGGTAACAGAAAACCGGGGAACAAAATCCAAATATCTAACCCGATAATAGCCGCATCTGTTCCGAATTGATGAGCTCCATCCGCGACTGATGAGCTTCTAAAGTAAAGGATAAACAGAATCGATCAAGTATATGATCAGTGAATTTTCATCTTTCTAGGCGGAGATCCACGCGGTGGACATCTACGTAGCCGTGTTCCAGAACATCGTCTGGGAAGGAAAACTGAGTGATGAAAAGTCTTTGTCCACTCTGGTAGCGAGCATCGGCTGCCAGCAGGAAGGCGATGCCAAAGTCTCGCCCGATGACAGATATAATTACGGGGCTGTGTTCTGCGTCTACGTCAAAACCCGTAGGTTATCAAACGTTGATAATTAATTCTTATCGGACATGAGAGCTTGCTTTTTCCGCTCCACCGTCATCTCTCACTCCGTAGGTGCCCCTCGTACCCATCAACACCACATATTGTATGAGATGGGGGCCCTGTCTTTTTTTTCTGCTTTCTGCTGAAGAGTGTTATTAATCCTCGAGGCTATCCCCCTCCCGTTCTGAACTCTTCTGAATTTTTAATATGGTATCCGAAGGAATTTGTTAACTTTTGAAGAGCTGATTGCTTTCCTCAGATAAGGTGTTGAAATTTTTTCGGCTTCAGAATCCTCTTGCTTCGGCTTCATCAAAATCCCTATCGAAGTTATGTTCCTAGGAGGTTTTGCGATTAATCGTCCTCATTCAATTAAAAGGCGTCATAGCGAACTCTGGTGGAAAAGCAGAGCGGAGTGAGTGGTCGGAGATCAAGAAAACTCTGAGAGGCTACATCTTTACCATCGCCAACAACGAATCTTTCGTGAACGAAACGGGAGTAGAAATCAGAAGGTCTGAGCAAGCTCTCGCAATCAGTCCATTCCGGCGCACTTGTGCGGCACTGGTCGCTTACAACATTTTGACAATCACCGAACCTTGATTGCAGTGAAAACCAAATCGATATCCCGGAGAACAATCCGATTGTTTACGCAGCGCGTGACTATGCTCTGGTACGGCTCGTATTCGTCATCACCAAGGAAGAGAGCTACGCTCCGGAGTACAATGAATCGACTCATTACAGAATTCTCGAAGAGCTCAGACACCACATCGGTATCGACGATGACTTTAGGGTGAGGAAATACGTGATCCCTGCGGTGGAACCCATATCCGACACGGTTGATTTCGGAAGATACGCTGCGGGCCATATTTTTTTTGGCCAAGAGCCTAAGGACATGAGAGCGCCATTTTACATTCTCCGAAATTGAGAAAGCGAGAGTCATTCCTCGACATTTCTCACTGACGGATCGCCAAACACAGAACCGCCGCCAAACTCAAGTTTTGGATCGAGGACGCTCAGCTCGTTGGCGATCACGGTTGAAGACTTCACAAATCGTGACGCCCTTCCTCCGGTCTGGAGCCAGAACAAGGCTGGCTGTTTGTTCTTCAGCGGAGGGAATTCTCGAGAATCCTCCGCATTTACTCATTCAATGGGCTGAAGGCATTGCTCGGTCGTCGCAACACTTGGGGCCCTCGACTCGTCTTTCGTACACGACTGCTAATTTAAATAAAGTTTCCTATGTTTATTCTCTTTGACGCTCTCCTCGTGAAGAGGAAGAGTCAGAAGATTGAACATTTTTTAGCGAAAAGGGAATCGGTGCATTCTTCCCGCCCAAAAAGCATTATCACATTATCCAAGCTTTTTAGAGCTGCGGCGATGACAATCAGTGGTAGTAGCGATCTACTACCACTGATAGTATCACTGATAGAGTGATGATTTGAAGCTCTTCCCCAGCTCGCTCCTCACTGTCACGTGGAGATATCTCTGGAACGAAATCTGATATTTTTCGGTCTCCTGGTGCTCATTTGCACCATCACCTTCGGTGCCATATGGAGATTTCAACTGAATAGCGACGTGCAACGTAAAGTCATCGCGCAGATAAACGAGCAGAAGCGCAGGAAGAGCAACGCGGATTGGTGGTGAGAGATTCTAAGAGATGATATCATATAGAAATACAAATCATGAATGGAGGGGGGAATCGTGAGCCCGACATAGGGACCCAATTGTCTGCCAGTGGGGAGAGCGTCGTCGGGAATGATATCTGCTCCGAGGCTGTCAGATATCTCCACCTTCGATTTCTCGCTTGCCCTAATCATTGATTCTGTTCGTCCAAGGGGGTCGGGTGAGTCGGAACTACCGGGAGAAAACTCGTCAACGAACACTCGGAGCGAATACGTGAATAAAGCCTTTGTTCCCGAAGCGGGACCGCACACCGAGCAGCAAAGCATGCCGAACAAACTAGATGGCACTTCTCTGGCGATGAAGTCACGGAGGAAGAAGGATTCCGGTCAGCGTAGCACTATTAGAATCCATCGATATTGGTTTTCGCTTCGGTCTCCGATTGAATTCCGCCCTCTGTCGAAATTTGTCTGGTCAATTTCTCAGGGATTAGTCATGTCGATGAGGGGAGACCGACAACTTCCGACTGAAGCTATCCATCGATTTTCAACTCGAATTCTCGCGATTCCAGGCTCGAAGATACCCCTCATCGTGAATGGCGAACTGCCTCTATCCGTTCCTGGCGGTCTCGGAGGCCAGATGAGAATGCGGATGCAAGAGGAAAATGAGATCACATCGCCGTTGTGAGCAAACCGTGACGAACAAGCACGAGCAATCACATACATCTGATGCGCTATCGGTGCCAGACGGTCGATCATCCCCTGCCGGATTCAATCTCCTGGAATCACCGCTCTTCTCGATTCGGCATAAAATCCTAAAACGCCTTCCACCTCATGGTGGGGTCAATCTGTGCGCTCCTTTGACAAGAAAGATTTCATAGGAACTTCATCCAATAAACGAGCCGGATATATCGGATATTTGGTGAGGGAGCATAATAAAGAAAGATGGATTAGCTGGGCGAAAGTTCTCGTGAAATTCGTGGAGATGCTGTCTCCTACGAAGGGGGAACATCTGAGTCCGTCGCTCCAACCGAGACTGGATCGTTCGTCAAGGATTCATGGAGGAGCATGTTTCGGGAAGCTTCCCAAAATATCTTTGAGCTTGAGCTCCGTACCCAAACTCGAAGCAGGGTCAGCTGCACTCCTCAGTTCACCCGATGAGCTACTGGCTTACGTATGGGGCACGCGCCCATAGCCACCGAAGTCCAATTCAGCCTGTAGCCTGAATTTCCATGGGATTTCCTTTTTTCCATAGGATTTCTCGTCCAGTCTGTCCCAAGTTCCGATGCCGGGAGGGGTCCGCGAATCAAGACGTCGCAGAGTGTCCCCAGTGACTTGTTTCCTGAAAATATTCGTGCAGTGTATTTCCGCGTATTCCCACGTTGGATCGAGCTGAAACGAGCAATATATCTGGCTTATCTATCGATGGCAGGATCCGATGTCCGAATATTGGCGAATATCCTCCGACAGCCCGCCCTTATTACGCATTCTTGTACGCCAATATCTTGAATTCAGTGCCTATCAGAGAGAGGAGCGTCGTTGCTCCGTGCTTAGGTATGGGTGAGCTCCTGCGATTATCAGGATCAGCGGAGCTTCGAACAGGCGATTTCACATTCCGTCTCAATGCAGAGACGGAGAGCCGCGTATGCCTCAAGATAACATCAGTCGACTGAGATCAAGGAATTGAGCTCGTACCCCTTCATCGGAACTTGGTCAGTATTCTGATGGACAAGCTGAGTAAATAAGGATCTTGCAATCGGTTATTGGATGATGTAAAAAAAAGATTCTGAATTAATTCTCATTAATGATCTGGAGCAGGCAAGGAGCCCAACGATCAAATGTCCGTAAAGTTTGCCGGCATGCGTAAGAGCTGTGTGCTGATCTTGCTCGTCAGAATGGGCTGGATGGTTTCGGCTGAACTCAAAGACTCCCTACCAGCCATGAACATATGCGGTGAATATAATAGAATAGACTACCTGCTCGGATAGGAAAGTCCCATCTTACTGAGTCAGGATGGAATCAGCCCCTCTTGAGAAAATCCGAGTTTTCTCAAATTCCCTCATGCCATTCATCGTCCTGATGCCGACGAGAGACTACCCCTGATTGCTTCCAGTTTTCGACGATGGACCCACAGCCAGCTTCATCGACTGTCTCATCGAGGGAATCGATAAAGATGTGAGATGCTTTCGCGTACATTCAGCGAATTCCCTATGAGCGAATAATTTGTCTCCCATAACAATCGAGTAAATTCATATGGCAATCTTGTCGAAAGCGTATCTGTGCTCCGGTAAGCTCAATCAGAGCGGTTCCCGGCAGGTAGTCGAACGGACCTTGGTGTCTGTTCGAGAGCTCTTCCCGGACTCGTCGCTTCTAGAGACGCTCCGCTACGTTTGCAAGGCGAACAACGACGAGGGTGACGTCATTGTCAGTTTACCCCCGAATAAAATTTTTCGCTCACTGTTATGTTGGCGCGATTGGTTCTTCTCGGCTGGGAGCACCAAAACTTGCCTCTATTTCTCCAATTACAGATTGATGCCGTCGCAGACAACATATCGGTGAGTTTCGATCAGAAATCTCGCTCAGGTACACTCGGGAAACTTCGGAATAGGTTTCTGTGAACTCACTAGGAGACAGATACCTCAGACTCGAGTCGCTCGAGCTGGGTGATCATAAACCATTGATTCCTGATCACTAGACGGTACTTTCAAGCGGTTATCCTCGCCTTTTTCTTCTATTGTCGCAGGAAGATGATCTGAAAGGAGCAATTCCAGTCGTGTGGGAATGCCACGATAAGTACCTTGTCTAATCGTATGTCCAAATGTTCATCTCTAATGAAAAATCTGGGAATTCCTCGCCAATAATTATTGAGAATGCTCCACGCTGTTGTCTGACCTCATAGGCGCCGACATCCGCTGCATTCATGCGCCAGGTCCCCGAAGTTGAATTCCAATGCCGTAGCTTAGCATTCGTACAGCGCTACATGAATAAATTGGCGAGACCCGATCAAGGAAATTGGAGAGTTTCAAGGGGGATGTCGGGAACTTTCCAGAAGGAATCAATGCTCCGAATGGTATCCTTCATGATCCCGTCGAGACGAAGAGCTCGATACGCTTCGAGAGGCCAAAAGAGCATCGGAGTGCCGGGAAGTAGACGCCCCTTAGTTTCCGACATCCAGAGTCCGATCGACTCCAGCTCCTAACATTCCGAGTATCAATTCGTCTCATTCGTTTCAAATCGACTCCAATCAGGAGCTTCCGGCTCGAGAACGATCGTGAATCGAACGAATGTCGCAAAGGTTCGACTCGAGAGACTATCGAGCTTCTCGTGCGCCTCTTCGGGGACGAAATCGAACAGTGATTTCCGGTCTCGCTTGCTTCCCTACGTGATCTTCCCATGACCGCATTGGATTCGATTCGAAGTTTCGGTATAGATCCGACTCAGAGGTCTGACTAAGCCTAGGAGAGCCGTGCTATGGGGTGCGTTTGCCGGCCTGATCAGCCGCATGAGGGTCCGAGGGTTCCGTTGCTTGATCATCTCACCTTGATTGTCTTTGCACCCGCTCGTAAGCCGGTTCTCGGGGGTGCGCGACAGTCCCGCGAAAAAGCGCGTGAGGCGGAGCTCAGACTCCGGCGTTACGGGTGCTTCGATTTCGTGCCATTGGGGACGATTTTTTAACATCAGTAAAAGCTCATAACGGATCACGAACAAGAGATAAGGCGCAGACGCTTATTCTGAGTCGATGACGGTCGGTGAGCTCGAGATTCGGCGACTCACTCATTTTATTCGCGGCTCGAGTCTGTCCCGAAGTCCGACCCTCTCTGAAGGAGTCTCCCCCCCTATTCTCTCATGCTCCGCGTCATTCAGAATCCGTTTCGGGATCAAAGGAGTTGGTGCTGTTTCTACGGTCCCGTTTTTCCGTGCTTGTCAACTGAGGTTGGCCTCCAAGGGAATCAGGGAGAAAGTGATCTGTTCCCTCGATCGTGATGCGTCTCGCGTCAGTGCTCGTGTTGGTGTGTGCAGTGCAGAGCTCCCGGGCATTCTTCATCAGTACGTTCATCCCTATTTTGACGGGGGAGAACGCTCTCCAGGCAATATACCGGACCGCCATTTTCTTCGCCGGGGGTACCACGTACTTGCTCTCCGGAATACACAGTGGATACAAACGGCAGACAGTTCACAGTCCTCCGGAATACGAGCAAATTATTGAAGTTCTCGACATGCCGGAAGACGTTTACCAGAAACACATGAAACAAGCCAAGGAGACTGGCGCCCCGCTACCCTGGAATACCAGACGGGGTCCGGGAAAGCCTCAACAGGTCCTCTCGGAACGCAAGGGACTTTTGCATCGGAAAAAGCGTCCCGACACCAGGCCTGCGTACGTGGTTCAACAATCGCCAGAGGAGCCCTCGTCGTCCCCTGGTCTCTTGGCTCGACTCTTTGGCATGAGGATCCGACGGAGAATCCCGTGCGAGGATCTCAAAGTGACATCGGATTTATACAAGCTGAATTGCGTGCGGAAACCAAACCATCAGGACGTGATAAGCTTCATGTATCCGCATTATAAAAACTGGAAACCCACTCCTCCCAAAAACTCTAGGCGGACTCCTAACTCAGCGAGATAATCAGGGAATGCTCGTTCTCCCTGTGCGAGTCGATATGATTGCGGATTTCCTTCGCCGCACGTCGACAACAAAAAGCGTCAGTGGGACGCCATCAGTGTTGTGGCGAGCCCTTAAGGATAAAGAGAAGATATTGAAGTCCTCGGTAATATATACATAGATGATTGATTGATTGATTGATTGGTCGATAGATAGATAATCGTGGGACTTCGGCACTGTGTGACCCTCCCTCCTTGCGGGTGGATGGAACGAATCGTGACGAAACAGCTTGTTTGCAGTATGCACGATCTCGGTTGAATAAATCCATCGAATATTCTGCTCCGATCGTCGTCCATCCCTTAGACCAGAGGTTCCCAAACGGGGTTCCGCGGAACCCTTGGGTTCCGTTGCGGATTACGCGGAACCTCAAAGTCTACCTGCGGAACCCCTGCGGAGCCCCTAGGGGTTCCGTGGAAGAAAAAGTTTGGGAACCACTGCCTTAGACCACCGGAGGAAGCCGAGGTCCACCTCCTCGTGCATGAATCGAATGCACCACCATACTTCAGTTTTACTAATAGAGAGTCATGCAATAATAAACTTTGGTTCTATTAATAGAGAATTGAGCACTAATGAAATGCTACAAATAACCGCGGAGAGTCGGTTACATGAGTAGTAATCGGGCACAGCTTCCTCGCCACGGGACGATGATCCGAATCGTCATCAAACTCATTGAAAAGTTAGGACGGCGGATCGAGGGCTCAAGTCTGGATTGAGTTCCAGTTCTTAAGAAAGCCTCGGCACGGGTCTTGGTCAAACTAACCCGGAGAATAACGTTAGAATTAAGGTCAGAACCAGCATAGCGGGCGGGGGGTCTTGCTCATTCGCCTCCCCGTGGATATTCTCCGCAAGCTTTTGGCGGTGTTGATCCTTATTTCCTCTCGCATTTTCGAATGTGTACTTGAGAATCTCGGCAATGCAATGGAGAGTCAAAGAATCGAACTCCGAGCCGTCCCTCAGAGATATTATAATGCCGCAGCGGGAGTTGGAATTATCTCGGCAAACGGGCAGTTTCTGATGACTGGTTCGGTAGCATGTGATGAAGATCTAGCAATTTAGCTGATCAAACGAGGTCCTCTTGATCGCCCGCACCTGAATTGTCGGATCGACCATAGCCTATCTTGCAGGAAGTTAGGTTTGGTGAATACTATAATAACTACATAGGGCGAAAACTGCCCTGGTCGTATTTCGAGCTGCCAGATTTCGACGAAAAAACTGCAATCGGAGTGGGTGAGGAATGAGTGGTATTCAGATAGGGCATAGGAGGCCAGACTCAGCGCCAGGTTGCAGCTCTCACATACAGCTTTCCGACGAGACCAATCTTGACTGTCTAGCAAGCGTACTTCGAAAGTCACGTTCATGAGGTGTCACTCCTCTCATTCCGAAATTTCCATTCAGGGATAGATCCCTATTTGAGAACATCGCCGTTGAGATGTCCCACCCCTTCCGAAACGCGCGCTTTCTGAGACCAGGACTGGAGTCGGACATCGAGGCACATCCTGAAGAAGCGTCTCGGCGCCGCTCCCAGACGAAGGGGATTTTGGGCCGCCGCGCCGCTGGACCGAGGCCATGGCCCCCGGGAGCATGCTGGGGCAGCAGACTCCATCACGTCTGCACATTCGACGCGAGAAGCGGGATGGGGAATGGCCCCAGCCTGCCGACCATGGATGTTCTGTGATTTTCCAATCTTCTCCCGAAACGTGAACTCCGGCATGGTGTTGCCTGCGGACGGGGATCGAGATTGCTCCCGATGTTGGCTGGTTGCGTCCCTGATGAACTGAGCGACTGGACATCGGACCAAGGTCTCATTTATTGGCTGACTGAAGAATCGATTTGTGTTCCTGACTCAGACTTCGCGCCCACTTAGCGAAGGGAATGGGTTTGAGGGGGGCTGTACAAGGTAGAAGGTGTTCTCGCATGAACCCGAGCTGCAATTTCGAAGCGATTTTTAAGGTTGCTCTGAGATATTCGGACTGCATTGATTGGAGCCGAATCTCTCTCCGATCCGATCTTACGCTCCGCAGTCCACGAGTCTGTACTCTCTGTCCAGGCAGAATGTTATCGCTGCCAGAGCTTGTCCTCCATTGCTGACTGACCGGCAACTCAGCATGACATGCTTCCACCCCAATGAGGCGAAAAAGCGCTCTAAATCCAATCTAAGGGTCCACCCTGTTCTCTGCCGTTGATCCATCCATTCGGAAGTTCTATCTGCGGGGATAGCATTCCCTTACATTCGGAAAGTCGAGGGAAGTCTGGAATTGATCGCCTCGGAAATTCAGAGAGAAGTAGGGGGCGAACGACAGGGCAATTCAGTACGGACTGTTGAAGTTGAGCATCTTGACGACGTCGCGTGTTTTCTCCATCCAACCTAGGAGACTCCTGTGTTCCTTACTGGATGCAGGGAGAGTTTCCGACGTCACTCTGATGCTCGAATTAGTCCCACCAGGGCCGTAGACAGACACGAGGGTATACTCACTACATCTGGAGGTACTTCCCATGGAGGAGGTAAAGATTCGCCAAATAGGATTCATCATGATCGGGCAACGGAACGTAGTAATCCTTCAACTCATCCCCTACAAATGCGTATGCCAAATTCCTCGAATCTGGAAGGCAGATCCCTTGAGCAACCCGAGGAGTCGGCAACGACTAGGAGCGTATAAACATCATTGATTCCACCCCTCCTTAGCGTACAAGAACGTTCCAGAATATCGGCCGGCATTTCCAGTTCGGGGTTTTCTGATTGTGTCTCGTCAATCTCTTCATCGTACCCCATGAGTCCGCCCATAGTGAATCTTTAATCCAGGATATCAGTATGGATTCGGTATACTCCGACCTTGCGGGCGGGAGAAAGCTAATATTAAGGATCCTGGAACTTGATAGAGAGCATGCTAACCTCAGCTTTTTCTGCGCCCTCGCGCGGTCGAACTGCGGCTTCGTTCCGCGCATGACTTCGTAGCAGTATCCGAGCACATGAAGATAACTGATAGTGAATCGCGGTCTGGAAGATTTGTTCAGTCCTGACTTGGTAGATATACTGATAAGTCAAAACCCTCCGAGCTCGCTTGACCGGATAGCGACCCAGCACCGCGGGTTTGGAGGAATCGAGAAAGATAGATCGAGCGAGCGCAGGTCCGTCTCGAGCGCTAATTTT